AAGTTAGACAGCATTAGTGAACGAAATTACGAGAACGCGTTATTTTGGTCTACACTTAGGTTGGTAAGTGGGATTTCTGATTGGCATATCTACTTTTAACCCTTGTGCGTTTCCATTGGAATTTTGGGTTACAGCCAACGGGACATTGTAATTACAAGTTTTAAGGTTTGCCACTTTGTATTTTTAGGTCCTAGTTAAACAAGGTACTGTCTGTAAACGAGAAAGAAAATTCAGTTTCTAAAAATGGAATAATGTTGTACGTAACAACTTTTGTAATAACATCACATCAACTGTTACCTGTTTACTACTGAACATACGCATCCATTATAGAAGGGTAGTTTTGCTAGTATTTGCCACGGTTGGCAGGCGGGTTAGCAACTGCAGTTAGGCTCTGGTGATATTTTAAGAGAGACGTTACTGCCAGTTCCTCTGCCATTAACTTCTCTTAGCCACTTCTTACGATACCCACGGCAAAGGAAGGGGTGGCCCATTCTATGTACACAGCAAAACTTTTATGTGTAATATGCATACAAAATTTATAATAAAGGCAGCACATTAATCCTTCTTTGCATGATTTTTTTTTTATTAATGAAATATATCAAGGTGATATAATTCATGTTCAAAATTCAAGAAAAAATGGTTAAAGAAATAAATTTGACAGCTATGTTTTGTTTATTGCAATGGATATTAAAAAGGTATCCAAACACGATATATTTGGTCTTTTATATAATTTTTGGCTTCAATGTTAATGTACTTATTGCAATGATATTTACGCCTATATTATTTTGGCTAAGTAATTAATGACGGGCTAGTTTTAATTTACATCTGTATAATATATGTTGTTCATCTATCTTTAGTCCTGGCCCCTTGTGAATGTGAGACAAGGAGCACTAAGTTCAATGGCCTCAACTATTCTTATATACATTTTTTACACACATTTATTTGTATAATTCATTTCATTCTTATATGCCGGTTTCAGAGACTGCTTATTTTTCTCACAAATAGCGCTCACTTTATTTGATCATAATCTACAAGTCCGTGTAAGACTTTCTACAGCGGAAATGAGAGTTAGGCACTCAACAAATTTATTTAATCAACTTGTTTTGTAAACATATACTTGTTCTTTTTTTTATTTTGTTTTAATTGTTATTATTATTAAATCGAAAAACAAATTAGTTTTCCAAATAAGTACCTAATAAAATTAAATTAAAAAAAGTGTTTCTACTTACATGTATAAATTCTTCTAAAATTATTATAGTAGTACAAAATTTTATCATCCCAACCCAATTTCACACCAGTTGCCAGACTTGGTTTTAGTAATTACAATCTAGGTAATTTATTTGCTTTATAAATCTTGTAGGGCTGACTTACTAAATACTTCAAATAATATGTAATTTATATAGCTTATGCAAGACGATGTATGCATGACGATGCAGGACGATGATATCCGACAGACAAATCAAGTTTACAGACCAAAAGTTCCTTTGTTTGCTTCGTCTGTTCAGGCCTTTTTAAGTCTAATAAGAGACACCCCTCAACGGCATACATTTTAGTTTCATTCAATATTTTAATACCTAAAATAATATAAGTACTGTTATGATACACACCATGTGAGAAGTGCGCGTACAGAAGTTTTTAGTGGTACATACTGGACTTACATTGAGTGTAAACCTCGTTGTACTAACGTGCTTGATTCAAATCAACTGTAAATCAAAAGCCTCTCAATAATGTTCTTGGAATTTGATGGCAGAATTAAATTTTCGGAAGAATTGTATTAGCTATTTAGTTTCCTTTATGTGTTTAATGAGTTTTGATAACCCCAATAAAATGCACATGAATATCTTTTACTGAAATGAAGGTTATCTTGCGGAAGTTAGATTAGAATTATTTTGTTTAATTCTGCTACCAGTAGTATGTGCGTGACTGCCAACACTGAAAAATTGACCACTATCATTACTACTAGAATTTCTACAACCGTCCATATCAGCCCTCAATTTTCGAGTGCTATTTCGTCTACGCACGTTTTGCGACACGTGTTTCACCTCTAAACGAATAACCAGCATAACAATAGCGAATATATTATTATTAAATTAAATATATATATATATATAATTTATATTATACATATCTCGTATTAATGTAATGAAAGGTATATATCAAATAAAATTATATGAGGTATCGTTATTATTGCCATGAAATAAGAAAATTGTATGCACAGTAAATTGAAGCCATCTTAATTTTAATAATCTTAATCGAAAGAAAACATTTCATTTTCGTAGATATAATGGTCAAAATATCTTTTATAGACAACCTCTGTGAGTACTCGTAAAAGGAAAAAGAGAATATGACAGTTTTTTATGTATGTTTATTAGGATTTTTATTTTTTTACACTCCACTGCTGAACAAAAGCCTCCCCCATCCTTATGACAGTCTGTCACAAAAAATAGGGCTGTTCCTCATGGCAGTTAACCATTGAAAGGATTTTGCCAGTAGTTGCCACGCTTATCAGGCGGATTTGCAACTGCAGTTTGGTTTTTGGTGATGTTTTAATAGGAACGCTGCTGCTCATCCCACAACCATTATTTTCCCTTAGTCGCCTTTTACAATACCTACGGGAAAGAAATGGGTAACCCATTCTATGCCAGGATCATATGGCACATAGGTATACATCTAATGTAATTTAATGTCATTATTTGATTCATGTTTCTTTGAGAACAATGTATGTATCTATATATGTTTGTATATGATAAATATTTATATAATAGTGCGCCACCTACTCTTTGTCTTTTTCTCAATGTTCTCTACCCAAAGGTTGTCTGATAAGGCCGCCTTTTGTATCACTTCTCATTGTTATCTATTTGTTATCTCTCTTTTTACTTGGTGCAATGAAGTGTAAATAAATAAATAAACAATCTTCAATTTTATTGATAGAATACTATATTAAAAGGATACTAATGTTAATGATCCTGATATCACCATGTATTTATGCTATCAGAACAAATAAGACTGTCTCAATTACGAAGATGACAATATACTAATCATATTAATGGAGTGCACTAAAATACATATTACAATAATGATACACCGTAAAGAATATCTTTTGGCGGACGTGACGGGGAAATAATATAAGAAAAACTTTCTAGCACAGCGTGTGATGCGTTAATGAAACACATGTGATATAGGATGTAGGTAGTAATAGAATCCAAGTAAACCCGAGACTAGACGATCCTCCCTTGATGATGAACTTAATAACAATAATTAATTTAGTATATTAGTGACATATATTGTATTTGAACGGTAGAATTACGTGGTGTCTACTACGTAGGTCAGTCCATTTAGGTAAATTGATTTCTGTGTAAAAGTAATCTCTGTAGATCACTGTATAATTTCTAGTTAATTTGTATTGTATAGAATACATATAATATAAATTTAATTTTGATAAAAATAACTTAGTAACTTCAATAAAGACTTAGGTAGATATTGCACGATGTTGCCAAGCGTTACGTAAATAAAGATTGGTAAAGTTTGAACGCGACGTTCAAGTTCAGATAAAATTCAAAAGTAAAAAACTCGACCCCTTTGTTATAAGACACTAACTATATCTTGTTTCTCCCGCTCGAGTTGGAATAAAAAGTTTCTGTATATTATTCTAGGATATGGTGTACTTTTGTATATTTTATTCAAATCTATTCAGCTGTTTATTTATTTAATCGAATAAGTGACAAATGTATAAGTATCCAAATATGTTTACTATATAGACAATTTTTTGTATCTGTCTGTAGTAATTAGTAGAAATAATAATAGGATAGGAATCGTTGAATTTAGAATATATTGTTTACTAGTCTTTACCTGCGATTCTAGGTGATCGGAATTAAATGTGTATACGTTGATCGAAATAAAAGTAGTTTATATCCCTCTCTATCCCAAAAAGTACGTGTACACCAAACTTCGTTGCTATTGGATGATCTGTTAATGCGTCAAAGGATAATACTTTTTATATTTGTGATATTAGTAAGAATAAGAATACTTTAAATAAAATAATCATTTGGATCAATCCTAAAAAAACATTTTATGTAAGTAGTAGATGCCTGCCCGGCTTCGCACGGTTTACTTTTTCGTATGATTTTTTAAAAATTTTTCCTATTGGTATCTATCCCTTCCTATTTCTATTCTCTATACAAACCTTGTCCTGATAATTAATAATAAACACAATAAAGAGAATTAGTCAAATAGTTGCAGTCATTCTGGAGTTGCGCTTACATACATTCGACATTAAATTTTTATTTAAATAGATTTAGTAATAAATGTAAGTTATGTATAACGAAAAAGGATTTTTAACTTATAATAATATTATAGAATATAATTGATTATAGAATAATACATTTTTAATTTTAGTGTTCTTTTTATTTTTTCCTGTAAGGAACATAGTGTGAAAATAATGAGGCATGAATACGATAAAAAACGCGATTTTACCAGTACCTGCAGTGCGGTACTATAACGCGACACAGTTTTACTTGAACAATGAAATTAGTGGCAAATATATCAGACTTGTAGGCATCTTTCCAAATACTACAGCTTCACAATTATTGGGTTAAGTGCCTATATATACAGTGCTTATATATACTAAGAAGGAATGTTTATTTAACTGCGCAGTGTATAGTGTGTCATACTTAAATTACAAAATTTATGAAAACTTGAAACGATGAAAGGCAAAAATGTTGATATCAAATGAAACAGTCACATTTTTATCCCTATGGCTACAAAAATAATCATAAGAATCATCTCAAATATTTTTTTTGTGAACGTATTATCAGACAAATTATCATTGTCTTCGATGCGATTTTGATGATTGTTATTTAATGTTAAGCGAATGTGTTATTCCGGTATTAGTCTCATATCAAAAAATATTTTTTTAATAAGTACTAATTATATAGTTTCGAACTTCTTACTATAATATTACTACCATACTAATCTACTTATTACTTAATTATTTACAAAAGACTTTTGTAAAGGTATTTTGTGAAAATTATAATTATTGATTAATAAATCTTAAAATACCTACATCAACGCTATCCATTTAGTTCAACGTACGCAGCATGTCTGGAACAAATCCAAATAAGTGAAGTGTAATAAAAACAGAGAAAAAAAATGGTGGAGTTATTTATAACAGTGAAAAGGACCGCGTGACAAAATGTGCAAGAACGTGAAGAATGTTGCGTGGGAGACGGAGACGCTGATGGGGACACCACCAGCGTCGCGGTGGGAACAGTTCTGTCCGAGGGCAGCTCTGTCCCATGTGGGACTCTTTATTGCACTTATGCTATACACTGGTGGTGGAGGATTGGTGAGTATTTTTTTTACTTTAGATCATATTACGCAGCACTAACTAGTCCCAAACAAAATAAAGCTTGTATTATAAAAGCTATTAAGGGTAAAATACAACAGAAAATTTACTAATCCTTACTAATATTATAAATGTGAAAATGAATTTGTTTGATTGTCACTTTATAGTGCTTTAACAGTTTAACCAATCACTATGAAATTTGGTATACTTATTATACGAGATGGAGCATATATGCAAAATATAAAGGAGATATAGGCAAATTTTTATTCCGGTTACGCGGATGATATCACATCATAGTATATTATACATATGACAGTAATTTTGTCTGATTGTCATCTCTTGGCGACTTAACTGATCAATCAATCGTCATGAAATTTAGTATAGCCCTACTATATGGGACGGAGAAAGATAAAGCTATCTATCCCGGTCAATTGACATGTTTCGATTACGTGAACTTAGTATATATGTATGAATATTATCGAAATCATGATAATAATAAATAATGAGTTCATTAATTTTTTAACAATCTATGAATCCAGTAAAGTAGGAATAAAATTATATTTTTTATTTATTAAACTATAATCTGTGTTCCGTAGGTACAAAGAAAAAATTATGTTTATTATTTACTAGTTACGTTTACGACGGCATTGCTTACAAAAGAAAATGAACTGAGAATATAAAAATAACGTAATGTTTTTTACCAAATTGTCTATCATAAAGTGCCTACGAAGCGCAAGAATAGTATTCCTATTGGTATACGGCAGAACGACAAATAATGAAGAAAAAACCCATAAACAAATCAAACCCGACATTCGATAACTTTTCCCAGAAGCGTTAAGCGAAGGAAGACATTTCCTTGACACTTATCGTTGTTGTGAATACAAAATTCAACTTGTCTATATATTTTATGTAACTATTGTTGAACATAGAAAATGTTCTGTAACAGTCTATATATAAGTAGGTACCTATCCTTTTCAGCCACTGTAAAGGGATAATGTTCGACCAATGTGTGGAGAGTTATCAAGATATCCATGATGACGTAGATTAAATAAGACCCATATATTTATATAGGTATATATAAGAAAGATCAGCTCATTTGTATTCAGTATATAGATGAACGAGGTTAAACAATGTTGGTTAAACAATATCAGCTACCCTAAATGTTCACAACATTTGGGGTAGCTGATATTTTCATGTTTGACACACAAATAAGGACCATGAGATTCGATAGCATGCAACTTCAATATAAATTTAAATATTGAATATTTGGGTTTTATAATATTCTAATTCGACTTTCTGACTATTAAAAATATATAATTAGACAGATGCATCTTTTTTTATACTTTTAAGGTGTATGCTGAATAAATACATGGTTTTAAAATATGTTAAGATTTATGTGAATCTATTAAATGACAGAACTCTTATCTATTAACAAACTTAATTTTTCAATACACATTTTTCAAATTATTTAGAAAGTCGAGATATATATCTATTGAGAGAAACGTTTAAAAGATATCTGGAATAAATATTCTTTGAAATTTTAATATTAAAATCTTGTATATACATCTAATTATATTTGTTACTTAACGAATAGAACTATTCACTAAATAGCACATGTACTATAAGACGAAAAGCAGTTTTTATCTGCATATGACATCATATAACTCAACACTTTCTTAAACTAAATTATGATAATATCTCTATATTCGGTATTTTCTATAAGATATAAAGCAAATATGAATTATTATTATAGTAAAAAAGAAATTAAAAGTCAATAAATTCTTCTTCAAATAAGCAAACTGGGCTTTCCTTAATTTTTTCTTCATCAAATATATCGAAGTTAGTAGCATCACCTGGTGAACGAATCTTTGGTATAAAAGGTGGAGGAATGCGACTGTTTAAGAGATTATCCCAGTCAATTTCTCGAAACCATTTATGATTTTTGAAATCTAAAGTACCATCTTTAAGATTTCCGTATCGTCGAGTTGTATCAACTTGAAGAACGTGTGAGACTAAATCTTTTAATTCTGAAGAAAAATGCGATGGACATCGATACTTCCCAGATACAATTTTTTCATAGATTCTCATAGGATCTGAAGCATAAAACGGTGGATGTCCAGCACTCATTTCGAAAAGTAGAATACCAAGAGACCACCAGTCTACAGACATTCCATAACCTTTGCTAAGAATAATTTCAGGTGCTAGATATTCTGGTGTACCGCAGAGAGTCCAAGTTCTTCCTTGGATTAGCTTACAAAATCCGAAATCGGTTAATTTAATATAGCCTGTTCTATCTATTAAAATATTTTCGGGTTTGAGGTCACGATAAACTAACTCGCAAGCATGAAGGTATTCTAAAGCTAGAATAACTTGGGCCCCATAAAATTTTGAAGACGATTCATCAAATTTTCCCATTTTGCGCAAATGGGTAAACATTTCACCTCCAGGAATAAATGGTAAGATATAATATAAATAAACATTATCTTTAAAGAAGTACTTCATGAAAACTACAAAGGGAAAATTAAGTCCGGATAAAATCTTTTTCTCGTAAAAACTGTGTTCAATTTGTTTAAGTTTAACAATTTTTTCTTTTTCTAACATTTTCATAGCATAATATTTTCCACTGTTGGTATGTCTTACTAAATAAACGACTCCAAATGCTCCAGTGCCGAGAATCCTACTTTTTTCAAAGTCACTTAATTTACCGTCGACTTCCGTCTTCTCATTCCAAGATTCTATAAAATCTTGATGAAGTTTACGAAGATACTGTTTATACTGATCTTGTTTAGCATGTGAGTAACCCCCTGGATTAGAGAAATAAGTATGACGCTTGACGTCATCAGCCATTTTTGGTGCACCTTCTACCGAAAGCAGTTTGAATAATTATTCTTTATTTTAAGTATGAGAAAATTTTTTACTTTATTATTTAAGCAAGTACTAAAAATAATGCTTAGTAATATTGAATAAAGCTATAAGAAATCTATAAAGATTAGGACTAGTTGAAAATATCAGATAGATTATTGCAGTCACAAAAGTTAGTTTTAATTAGTCTATGAAGTTTTTATTTAAAAAGTTCTTATAACAAAGAAAAAGTAAAATATAAAGATAATTTGTAATTTTATGAGATAGAGAACTTGGCAATTAATGAGCAATGACTAAAGCAATTCTATGTAAGGCATTTATTGATCCATGAAACTTTATATTCAGTTTGTTATCTAATAGACTGAATACAAAGTTTCATGGATCTCTCGTAGAAAAGTTTATAAACTGAAATAATTCGTAATTAAAAGTTCCTACTTATCTACTCCGTGCAGCTTCACCTGCGCATTTATTATTTGTCATTTCTTAGTACTAATATACATATTCATAGGTCATAGATTAGAAAAGTACTACGGTTTTTATCTCAGATGAAGTATAATATTAATAAGCTACCAACTCGTTTATAAATGATTATTAAACCTACGTTGTTAAATAATAATACATAAATTAAATATTTAAAAAGATTTTATTGTCTTTTGGTGTCATTATTAAGTGTTCAACAACGAATAAATATATGGTTCCTTTTATATATTCGTTTATATTTATAACGTGATTTTGGTATTAATTTTTTCATGTAATATTTAACTTTAGTAGGACATGTCTAAGGTTTCATATACATAACAAAATCATACAGACTATATTCGTTATTTAGAGATATTAAAAGGTGAGTTTGTGAAGAAATTTTAGGAACCACCAGATTTAACTAAAACTCCTGATGATTTTGTCAGAATCAAAACTATTGGTAATGATGCCTATGGTTCTAGTAAGAGATAAGGGTAAATTCACATATCATGCTATGAAAGTTGTAGAAGGCGTAGTAGTTGAGAGGAATCATGTCAAATATTTATTGTTAGAAAAGAAAATTCGTCAGTGTATTCGATTTCCATTTGTTATAACATTAGACATTGCCTTTAAAGATAACGTTTACCTATATTTTATACTTCCTTATATAGTTGGAGGAGAATTATTTACTTGCATTCAAAAGCATGGCAACTTAGCAAATAATTTGGCAAAATTTTATGCCAGTCAAGTAACATTAGCATTAGAGTACTTACATTATTCTCAAATTTTGCATCGGGTTCTAAAGTCGGAGAATATTTTGGTCGATTTAAATGGTTATTTAAAACTCTGTGACTTCGGTTTTTGTAAAATAATGAAGAAAAAAACTTGGACCTCGTGTGGAACATCAGAATATTTAGCGCCATAAGTTATATTGTCAAAGGGCTACTCTTTTGCTGTCGATTGGTGGGCGTTGGGCATATTAATCTTTAAAATGGAGGTCGGACATCCACCTTATTTGCCTCTGACCCTAGTATATATAAGTTATATGAAAAAGTGCTCGATGGTGTATACAAGAGTCCAGATAATATACCACCAGAATGCAAGAGTTTAATAAAAGACTCACTATAAGTTGATCCAAACAAAAGAGTAGGGTCTCTGAAGGGTGGCGTGTACGATATTAAAAGTCACCCGTGGTTTCACTATATTACCTGGCAGTCAGTCAATCAGCGAGTGAAAGCACCATTTATACCCTTATGTCCTTTACAAGTAATTTTCCCGAAATATCGCAACCTAAGATAAAAATAACCTTAATATGCCTCTACGAGCAAGAGTTTGAAGTATTCTAAAGATTATGGTATCTTTATATTGTTTAATATTATTATTAATGTTTAAATAAATTATGATTTTAATAAGACAATGAAAATATCAATTGTAATACATGCGTATACTCTGTAATGTATGATATATATTTATTTTTATAAAAAAGGAAAATTACAGGGATATATTGGAAAATTACATATTCGTTATGGACAGTTTAGCAATTAAAAATAAGACATTGTTTTCGTTTTATTACCTTATAAAATAAAATAAAACAAAACAGACAAAATTATAAAATACAAAAATCAACAATATAATATACAATAAATAATACTAACCACTGAGCTGTATACATATACCATGCACTTTAATAGCGTATTTACTCGTATTAGCATATTATAGTTCAATAACGATTTTATTTTTAGCACGGTACATAAATGTTATTACTGACTTTGTTTACAACAATAGGCAAATTGTCTTCATTTAAAAATCGTATCTTCGCTGTTAATAATAATGTGCTGGTTTGATTTTACTGGTTTAATTAAATATTTGGCCTACTTAGGATACTAGCTCTATCAAGAACCAGTATATAAAGCACTTGAGTACTGAGTTGAGATGTAATATAACCTACTCGTGTACTAAATTTCATCCCAATTTCGTTCAATAGTTTTTGCGTGAAAGACTAAAGAACATTCAACCATCCATCCATCTATCCTTACAAACTTTCGCATTTATAATATTAATAGAATAATTAGCCACTATTATAAATATCTAAAAGTCTTCTTAAAAGAGTTTTAAAATAACGATGTTAATAGAATAAAGAAGATCAGTCATTATTTAATAATAAAAGTATTTAATGAATAGATTTTACCTACGACTACGTTCACATGATCAAGATGATTTCATTGACTGGTATGGAAACTAGCCCATGTCCTTCTCATTCCAAATAGTAAGTATATACCAAATTTTATAGCGGTTAATTAAACCGTTAAAACATAAAAAAATAAACAAACTCCTTTTTAACATAAAATTTGTGAACATGTTATTAAGGACTAATAAGGACATAAACTCTTATTTATTCTAATCAGTCACAAAAATTTATTAAGCATACTAAATATAATATGTATTACTATTTTTATTATCTTCTATCTTACATTAAAATGGAGAGAGAAATACAGAAAAGAGAGTTATATTAAAAATTGTTTGTCTGTTGACTTATTATGTATCTCAGTAATTTCTTTATTCATATATTTTTTTCCGCGATTTTACTTGAAAGAAACTGTAAGTTCAGATAAATTACTATATTCTTGCTATAAGCTAAAGTTTTCACTATTCTCTTTTTTCTTTTCTCTTTTAGTTTTGTGAAATATATATTAAAATTAGCACAGAAACATAGATACTATCCGTAATCTATGAAAAATAATACCTTATGTTTCGAAAAATGTTTGTAAATGTCAATATTGTGACGTCTCTGGTAAGAATTTTGTATACTCGTATAAAACAATATTAATTAAAATGAAGAATAAACTTTACATATCTGTGTGCTTCCATAAAATATTTATGATAACAAGATAATGTCTATAAGTGAATGAAATAGCATTGGTAATGACATTCGATAAGAGGCAATCATCGAAAGCAAATATATATACATACGACTTGCAAATCAATCATAAGCGATATCTAGATGTTTTGAAACAAGATTTTGTCAAGAATTATTCAAATCCGATAATATACTCAAAATCGGTTAATGATTTCGATCTGATCCAAGCATTAGGATGTGGATCATTTGGAACAGTATTTCTTGTTCGTGATAAAGTTACTTTTGTATACTATGCTATGAAAGCAATTGAAAAAAGTAATGTTATAAAAAAGAAATGTCTTAAACAAGTGCTTTTAGAAAAGAGAATTTTACAGAGTGTTAATTTTGCTTTTGTGATTACTCTTGATTTTTGTTGTAAAGATAACTTATATATATATTTTCTGTTGTCATATGAAGGTGGCGGTGAATTATTTGCTTTGATAAGGAAATTAGGGTCTTTGTCAGAATCATTAACACATTTTTATACTGCACAAATTGTTTTGGCATTAGAATATCTTCATCATTGTTCAATAATACATCGAGACGTGAAACCAGAAAATATTCTAATTAATGAATCAGGTTACATAAAATTGGCAGATTTTGGTTTTAGTAAAATTGTAAAATCTCGAACATGGACCATATGTGGTACACCAGAATACTTAGCGCCTGAAATAGTAATGTCTAAAGGTTATTCATATCCTGTAGATTGGTGGGCATTGGGAGTTCTAATATATGAAATGAATGCTGGCTATCCTCCTTTTTATAGTTCAGATACTATGAAATTATATGAGAAAGTATTTGCTGGACAGTTTAAAACACCAGATACAATGACACCCCAATGTAAGTCTTTAGTAAAAGGTTTATTAGAAGTTGATCCAACGAAGCGTCTAGGTTCTCTTAAAACAGGAGTGTATGATATAAAAGGTCATCCATGGTTTAATGACACAAATTGGGATGCAATACTACATCATAAAATGTTACCGCCTTTCATTCCAATTTTTAAAAATCCAGGAGATACCGGGAATTTTAGAAAAGTGGATGATTTTATCTTAAAGAGAGCTGATCAATGTTTATTTGAGAAAGAGTTCGAGAATTTTTAAGTTTAAACATTATTACGTAGACTATAAGTCTTGCATTGTATAAAACAATAATCTAGAATTATCTTTAATAGTATTATGTATATTTATAGGGATATGAATTAAATATATAAAATATAAAGTTGTCCTTTTATAGTGGAATATTATTTATTCAAAAAGTAATGTGTAATGATCTGAAAGAGCAGTAAGTCTCATTTTTTGTTTTTAATTTTAAATACATTACGGTAATTAAATTCTAATTGTTTACTCTTACACAGGTATTTCGTGCCCTGGAATACCCAGCGGAACTGGAGAAACAAGAATATCATCGAGAACGTTTGTTAACAGAGCGATGGAATTTAATTAAGTTCGTATCTGAGTATCATAATAATGGAACTGAAGGGGGCATGGAGAAGCTATTAAGTGATCAGTTAGCTATATATGAGAAGGTGAGTAGAATAATTTATGTTTTTTTTCATCTATTTTTGTCTACTCGTATTAACTGCTATTGGGTATTTACTATTATCGTAGACTGCATAACTTAAATACATTCATAACTTTGAAGAGTTATGAAAATTTTATTTTTTTTATTTTTAAAGTGTGACAATGTTGCAATTATCAATATCAATTTTAAAAAACGTATTAACAGTTTTTAATGTTTCTGAGTTAATTTATTTATTATTTTAAAAAGTCTGAGTTAATTTATTTATTATTTTAAAAATTATTAATTTAAAAAGTTCTTTGGTAGCGAACTAAAATGTTAGTGATGTAATAATGTTCTTATATAGCTGCCACTGAAACTTGAATTCTAATGACAAAAGTGTATTTGAAAAAATTCTGAAGCTAAATAGGAGCCAAATTTTTAAAGATAGATTTGTGTACAACGTACACTATGACTAACGTATTAGTTCATTATAAAATGTTCAATTATTTTTATAATTGGTAAATAATTATGACAATGCCACATTTCGGTAAGCTACGATTAATGCTTGATTGTGTATAAATGCTGATGGTGGATAAAGTTGTAACCGTTACCTATAGATATGAGCAGTACCATGGACATAACAGAGTATACTGTATCCCCCATGATACCTTTCATTTGTTGCCAGTACTGAGGACTAAGGTGTTATGCCTCTGTATCCTGTAATTTCATTGTCATATCCTACCCTTTAAACTGAAACACAACCATACAAACACAACAGCTTCACGGCAGAAGCATGAATGGGACATAGGCACCCAAATAACCAAAACCAAAGTCGTCTTACTTTTGTACAAAGATTTCCTCGGGTATAAATTATATTTTGCCAAGTAAGATAACGAATAGCTTACAGTCCTGAAATCATACTAGAAAAACAAATATATTGTAATTTTCAAGCGGCTTCCAAGATATGCGTGTAATCGATTAAAGTCGATTTTTTCCTTAATAATCGGCAACATGTATTTCCTTGCATTTTTGGGTCCGATTTTTGTGAAGATCGCCATGCCAACTAAAACACGTTCATTTTTTGTGATCACTCCTCTCCTCCTGTATTTGACACCATCCATTTATCTTTTCTTTGGTTCCACACTTAACATACGAATCCTAATTTTTAAAATAAGTGTTTTGTGAAGATATTAGGATTTCTGAATAGTGCATATAATTTTTTTTATATTTTTTAATCAACTTCAAACACAACGAGGATTAAAATGAACTTTTTTTAGTGGATATATTTATATAACATCATTCCATTCTTAATAATCACTTTTCAATTAGAAATTGTTTACTCTTGTTTTTTAAAAATGGCGTTGATATTTTTGCGGAATAAAATAATATTAATTATAAGCGAAATTGTGTTATTATTTTTTTCTTGGTTTTTGCATAACAAATATTTAAAAATATATGTTTTTTAACTTTAAAATGTTTTTTTAAGGTATTAGAAGAAGCGTCTTCGAGTGGACTGGCATTAGAAGTCGAAAATAATTTTCCTGCTGCAGAAGAAAAATGGAGTATATTACAAGCAGTATTCTTTTCATCAACTGTGCTCACCACAATAGGTGTGTAAACATGTAAGCATAGTATATATTACACTAGTTTAATCTATGCACATTTGGTAGGTAATTTTTTCTCTATGTTGTAATTTCATGCCTCTTCTATCAAACAATTAAAATAATTCTATAGGCCTTCTGGTTATTCATCTAAAAATATGAAATAAAATAGTAAATGGTATGTCGTTATCTATATTATTAATATCGAATATTGCAGTAAAATTTTCTTGCAACATACTATTTATAACATTGGCTAAAAAGTCAAATATTTATACACGAATATAATAACCTGCATGAATAATAACAATGACTGTATTCCTACTTATTCACACTAGTAAATACGTATATTTTATTCTCTAAATGTTGAATTAAATTAATACATTGTACGAATTGTCCTTGAGTACCGAATGTATAAATTTAAAAAACGCGGTATTGTAATTCTAAAATATTAATCTCCATCATATAAATAAAGATAGAGATAGATAATATTAATAATAGAATGTTATTTTTTAAGAATATATTTTACTGAATGTTAATAAGAAATTTATTAAATTGACTAACATTTTACATAATTGGCCTAATATGAACGGAAAATGGTTGTTAAATGATGTTGACAGGTAATTAAAATGCTTAAACACGGTCATCCTTTGGCCATATTCTGGATATAATGTTTTTTTAGCTCATAAAAATAAATTACAAAAACTTAAAAAATATACCTAAAAAAAAGCAAGTGCGTGCTAATGTTTCATGAGTATGTGGATTATATATAATTAAATTTAAGGGTTCTTCATGATATTGTATATATGATTACATAGGACTGTTATTCAAAAATTAAACAAGGTTTTTAGTGATATAAAAAGCATCAATGGTTTCATGAATAGTTATAATTGTGTAAAAGTGTATAAGTCTTATAAAATTATTTATATCTTTAATAAAGTTCTTACATCATTTATGAATCGTCTAACTACACAGTTACTGATTTGAACATTTCTGATTAAAATGTTTTTTTTTTAGGTTATGGTAATATAGTACCTGAGACGTTCTGGGGTAGATTATTTTGTATTGCATACGCATTAATTGGAATCCCGTTGACATTAACAGTAATCGCAGACTTGGGTAGAGTCTTTGCAACGGTTGTTTCTATTATTGCAAAACAATTACCCGCTATGCCAAGTAAGTGATTCATAAATATTATATTCTCGAAGCACTTTATTCCGATAATATTTTCGACCTTATTTCCACTCATCGATACTAATTTTGTTTGTTTGTAGAATGTTGCAAACGAGTATCGGAAGCAAATCCAGCGGGACAACGATCTCTTTATGCTCTCGGCGCAGTAGGATTTCTATTCGTGTATTTGTCTGCCGGTGCGGGCTTGTTTAAAATGTGGGAGGACGATTGGAGTTTCTACGATGGTTTTTACTTCTGTTTTATTACTATGACCACTATCGGATTTGGAGATCTCGTTCCAAGTAAGTTTTGAATTAATAATGAACGTAAAACCCTTTATTATTCCTTCTCAGAAAGGTACAGTTACATAAAATGTATAGAAAAATACAGCATTACAAAACACATGGCAAATCAAAGTGATCTCTTTCAGCTTTAAAATTGATATATTTATTACAGGTTGTTGTTTTATTCTCTTGTAGCGAATATCACACCCGATTTGCTCATATTTTGCTAGATAGAAATGATCTAGATTCATTTGTATTCATAAGTAAGAGTCATCCACTTTTAAAGATATGTTTTATTCACAGAACGGCCAAAATATATGCTTCTATGCACACTTTACATACTTATTGGTTTGGCGCTTACTTCAACTATAATAGAGTTGGTACGAAGGCAGTATGCGAGATCTTGGCAACAATTACGAGCTCTGTCCGGGCCATTAGCGGACACTTTAAGAAGACTAGGCGACGCCGGTAGGGGAGTAGATGTGTCTGCTCTCCATAGTGACCTTCGTAAAGTACTGACAGTGGTGAGTTACATATATTTATATTAGCTCGAGGTCAGTTTGCTAGTAGCCTATCATGATAAGAAAGTCTAGCCTAGTTTAACGATCAATAAGACGTAGGATTAGAATGCGTACAAATTGCTCTAAGGAATACTATTTGGTAATTGATCACTAATTCGAAATAATTTCCATTTATTTACCAATAAAAACTAATTGTCTAAAAATTATAGAGTAATTTTCTATATTTACTGTATAAATTGGATATGGTACTGTTAGCACAAATAATTGCATGTGTTAGTTCAGAACTAAAAGCTTTAACTCCAAGATTTGTAGAATGTGATGACAGGCGTCGGATGAAACAGTAAACAAACATCACTTGTACGAGGTAATGACTAGTAGATATAATATTTGTGTTGGATGTTTATGTTATGTGTAGTCGACTATGGAAGTTTTATAATTATTATGGCTATTATTTATTATGATTTTGTTATAACGTCAACAAAGGATAAAAATATATTCTTTGAATGCGATGGTAAAATATAAAGTATTATTAGTTGAAAATTTAGTTTAATGAATTTAAATCTATAAAGTTAATTAATTACTGTCACACTTTGTGGACCTTGATTTAATTCAAGTTGAATAATGTCATTCTGGTACCTACCTACTTTGTGTTACGCAGTGAAAAGAGTTACTGACCGACCTTTTTAGGGGTACCTAAAAAGTTTACAACTAAAATATTATATATTCATGGAAATAGATAATTTCATGTCCATTATCGACATCATTTCGATTTCTTAAAAGTAATTAACATTTTTAAGAGTAATATAATATTGCATTTTAATTAATTATAATTTGTTTTATTATTAATTTATATTTCTATGTATAAATGCATCACCTCAGGATATGAACAAAGGGGTCAGATGTTTGAGTCCATTGAAAAAAACTCAAATTAAGCCGGCGGCAACGCCAGTTGTGAGTACTAGTATAGAAAGCAGAAACATTTACGCTTTTAGCTTCCTGATAAATAGAGCAGCAGTTCCTGCGCTTTCTGAAATTTTACATTTTGATATCTGATTCATACCTTAGTAGTTTGTAAACTCCATTATATGTTAATTTTATATTTATATCCAGGGTTGTCATAATAAAGACATTATTATATTTTATATAATAAAAAATCCTAATTAAAAGGATATTCAACTATGTTTAATTGTATAAATATTTACATGCATTTGGTATATTCCTGTTTTATAATTATTCTTTGTAGATACTAAATTATTAATTTATCATTGTAAAAACTTATACTTTTGCGTAAAACATTGTCATATGGCAACCCTATCACAACTGCTTAACAAGCATTATGTAGAGTTAGTTGCCGCGTGCAAAAATTGTTTTTGCTGAAAAATATTATTCTGAGTTGATTTCTGAGGCGTCACCGAGTCGGTTGTAGCGATTTTACTATCCTTGACCTCGAAACATTAATCGATGACACTGGACATTAGTAAACTATTATAAAGGGAGAATAAATTGTTGTTTTGAATCTGGTAGTAGTTTTGACAAGAAACATGCAATTATTTATAACCTTTATTTAAGAATAAGAACGTTTTTGAAATTTGATAAAAACTTGTTCATAAATTCTTTTTATTAATATAAACACTAATTACTTTCTTATTTATTAAATAATAATTAAATGGAAACACTCATTCCTTCTAGACTAAATATCTGCCTATAATCATTCGATAATATAATCAATGTGTAAAATACCCATCAAATTAATCTTTGTTATAACCATACATTATCTCACTGCTAGTGCTAACAATTGTTATGTTAAATGTTAAAAAGAATAGATTTTAAGCATATTGTAAACACGAGAGATTTTTATAAATTACCTATATTGTAATAACTATTTATTTAAAATAATATACTGGCACATAATTTCATAAGCGATATTTATTTTCTTAAATAATTGTTCATTTATTATTTACTTCGTAGATTAAGAATAGTACCTGTCATTCTCTTTCTACGATTAATAATATCAAAGTCGTAGAAAGAGACCTTTCTCTAATAACTGAAGGGTGAAATAGTTTCAATCGAAAATGATGAGAACATACATTAACCTATGTCTGAAATAATAAACTTATTTATTTCTATTTTACTTGTTAAAATATATACCATTTTTAAAAATGATCAATCGAAGAAGGTTTTTATAGTAAAACTGTTTATTTAAACAAATACAAGTTGTATGAACATAATTCCAGAGACACATAAATATAACTTAGATATACATGCAATTGAAAATAATAAAAAATAATAGGCAAATGGCCAAATCAGTACAGCTCTTTCATTTACATAGAAACCAAAACAAACTATCTTGTTACTAAAAATAGGAATGGCTTCATTAAAATAATGGTCGGTGCTGTATCTAATGGTGATGCTTGCATAGGTCGCTTCGAGGCCGAATGTTTCAATGTCGCAATAGCTACCCTTTTAGTTTTAGTACCCAATAAACTGCTCTGAACGAATCACTAATGCTTGCTTTATTTCGTAATGCTTATATTTTTGGAAAAAATAGGTCATCTGCTTAATTCACATGCTTAAATGGTGTGGTTAACTAATTCCATAAAAATGAATACACCCTTTCTTTTTAACCGTACTCGAAGTGCCTCTGCAATAAAATTGTCATCTAATATGTTAAATAAGGATACAGCCCTACCAATACTTTTAGAACGTGTTAAACTTCGAATACCCTATTTAAATATTTATTAGTATTGTATAGTAATATAATTAGACTTCTCACAAAATCTGTTTTATTTGTATGATAAACTTTTCTAAATTGTTTTTAGGATTGGATGTTATATAATCTTTACATAGGTAAATATTTATTGAATAATTCGAGAAAGAGAATTACCATAACTGAGTCTAGATCTAAAACAAAACACATCAATCTCAATTTCTGTGTCTCAATTTTAAAATTTTATGTATTATTTAAGCTTACAACATTATTTGAATCACTAAGCTTTCATATAAAATATTATCTTAAAAACACTGCTTATTAAACACTAAGACATTATTTTTATATCTTTGATCTTTCGATATTTTATAATATACGAGTACATATTTATTTGCCTACATATGTATTTATGTTACGTTTTGGTGATGGTTCTCTGTGTATATAATATAGTATGAATAAGATGCAAGTATAATAAAACAGCCGCTGTACTGTATGTTTTAAAATTTTACAGTCAATAAGACGAACGTTATGGTGTATTTTTATAAGTTTCCGATCTAGTGGCAATAAAACGCCAGTGCGTCAGCAATTCTACGGCCTTCATTGAGATTTCATTGGAACCATTATTTAAGACGTGATCCTATTATGAACTCCAGTTGTCAATAACGTCATTTATTGGAAAGGTGAAGAACGACATAATTAAATTTTTATCTTTACTCATCATCTTTTATACTTTTTCCTATTATTTGGTGTCTGTACTGTATGTTTTTTTATACTCCAGTTTAATATTAATGTATTTTAACAATGTACCCGTAATTGTTAAACATAAATATTTTTTTACACAGAATAGGTATATCTATTACATTATGGGTTTGTGATTTCGATATTTTCAATATCTATTAATTCATTAAATGCTATATTGTTAGGATAGGGTCTATTTGTGTAGTCAAATTATAAATGTAAAAATTTTTAATGAATTATTATTTAATTTACAGGTAATGTTTTCGGATTATATATAACTTTTATTAGAGAGTAAATTTGTGCAAAGTCAACTGTTTGGGTACCTTTTTCCCGTTCGTGTATCTACTGTGAAGTAGTTGTGTTTGCATGGCAGTATTTCTATTAGAAGGATGGGATATGGCAATAAAATTACAGGGTACAGCGATATAACACCTTAGTCCTCAGGAATGGCAACGCATGAAAAGTATTGGCGACGCAGTCCATGATACTGTTTATAACTATAAGAGACGGTTACCACTTCCCATCAGATAGGCCGTCAGCTTGTATGCTATTCTAAGTGGTAAAAAAGAGCAAATAGACTATTGGTCGCTTGCTAATGTTAGATTCTATAGAGAATCTGATATTCGGGATATATTTTGATTGACTTTAGCTGTTACTGTAAAAGTTTCCATAATTAATGAGAAAAGTATCAACAAATAAGTCTCATAGTAGTGGAATGGGAATATACATAGTATTTTTCATATTATTTGGGTTTTTATGTGACGAATATCATTTTCCAGTTTGAGCATTGGCTACAACATTTTGTGATAATTAAATTTAAGCGATATTCTTTTAGCTGTCTAAAAGGACATCACTTAAATCTAATTACCGAACATTATTAACAGAGTTGTTAAAATATTGTCTTTTCCAAGTAGTATAAAAATTCATACACAATATTTCTATATTTATATATCCAGAGGGAGACTTTGTACAAAAGTAAATTTGTTTATTTTATTTTGTTTCAACCGTGAAGCAGTTGTGTTTGCATGGCTGTGTTTCGGTTTGAAATATATGGCGTGAATTTACTGGGTACAGAGGAATAACACCTGAGTCCTTTTAATGGCATGTGAGGCTAATAATTCGTCGAAACAGTATACTTTTTTGTCCATGGTACTGATAATGGAATGATGATTACCACTTTCCATCAGGTGGGCACGTCAGCTTGTTTGCATTCAGTGAAATAAAAAAAAAAAAAAAAAAAAATTTATTGAATATGTATTATCTATACTCAATAAAATTAAATTTTTTTATTTTATTTTGTGCAAACTCTATAAGAAGGTCAATCGAAAGAATCTACTGGTTATAAATATACACCAGTGAGTAACATACAGGTTCTTAGCAATTCATGGTCGTACTTGCTTTTTATTATGTTGAGATACTTTTAATAATTCTCATAAAGTTAGTATTCTCACAATAAATAATTACAAAATATTTATCAGAAGGAGATTTTATATATTAGATGTTGAGCTTGCACGTCTGTATTTCAGTTTTAAGGTTGGGAGTGAAATTATACAATAAAACGACACCGAGAGTCTTCAAAAATGGCAATGCATGAAAGGCACCATTGGCCTCATAGTGCATTATGTGATGTTCATATATATAAACAGCGTTTATCAATTTGAATTAAGTTGACATTCTAGGTACCATAAACTCATTTTTTTACCCATTTACATATATTACAACATATTTTTAATATTCTCCATTGAAATTGTTGATAAATGAAATATGATAATGATAAAAAATATGATAGAATATGTGAGTATCATCATCATGTTTGTTTATCTATATCTTCATCGTATTGAATATTGCGTTCCCACCGTGTGATCACTAATAATCTCCCTCGAGTCTCTATCAACCCCATCTTGTGACCCAAATTTGACTGTTCGAAAAAGGAATATATCCTGTTCCATACCTACCTAGAAATACACAGACATTTACGCGTGTAACGTCATTATCTGTTTATACTCACAGTTACTCGTATATAAACAAATGATGTCTCTACACGTTCGTGCTATGGATATCGACGTTTCTATATGAACTGTTCGGGTGTGATTACTAAATACCTATAAACTTTATATTCCAGTACTTGAATATTACAAGATACAACTAAGTTATAATATTCGTTCTCTAGAAGCACAAATAAATTGTTCCACTTGGGAAACAATTTCTTTTTATTGCTAATTAGCTCGTTCTGGGAAAGAAATAATTTATGTTCAAAAAGAAAGTAGGTACTAAAATATGGTAGGAATTAGAGAGTTCGAATATTAGCTTTTTGTATTTGACCTGAATATACATTAGTTAATGTTTTATGCCTAGAATACAAGTCACGACATACCCACAAAGCGTTAACTCTGTCGCGTTACTTACAAATTAGCCTCTAAGTTGGAAAGAATATTAAGGCAAAGTATAATTTTCTTTGAGAACATTATTCGATTACTTGATTTTACAGCTTACATTTGATTGTGAAAAGTTTAAGTCTAGTTTGAATACAAAGTTTGAAAATCGTTAGTAAAATTTATATTTCCAGTAAGGGAGTAAATACTGTCGTAATAAAATATTTATTATGCGTGGCATATATTAGTATATATATTTTACCTATATAAAGTTTTTTTTTTATAAAAATAGTTAATATTGTTTTATCTTTAGTGAATCAAAATTTATTGCACTTGATATATTTTTTATGTAAAGTAACATAATGTATATAAACTGTATGATAAATTATTGAAAAGAAAAGTTCTGCGCTCGAAAGAATGTATAAACTCACTAATCGTTCACCGTTGGATATATGTATATATTTTTCATGAAGTAGTCTCAGTAATCCATTAGCAAAATACATTACTTTGTATATATAAGAATCTAGTCAAATATGTACTTATTTAGTTAGGTTGCTATATCTTGCGGTTTTTCTACATAAATCAAGAAAAAAGTATCTTATGTGTTTATCTAGATCGTACGCTAAACTATAATTATATCAAATTTAATTTAAATCTCATTACCTGGATAAGTGTAACTGACTAATTGACATTCAAACGGCTAAATATTCAACTTTATATCTTATATTTATTTACACATATTTTTAAAGTAGAAATTTGAATATTCAAATGATTATGATGCCAGAAAACGTTGCATGGAGAATAGATAGCATTGATTTAACTGAAGTCATGCGCTGTTAATTCGAATATAAGATTCATAATCGGACCAAACATCAACCTGAAAATATGATACATATATTAAAACTCTTAAATTTCCAAAAATTTTTTTTGGTATGGTTGAATTAGTAGTACCCGTAACTTTCATCACGTCGACATACTTTTTTACTTAAACAAAAGAAAGGCCAAATTAAAAGTACACGTAACCGGCGAGCGTGTTAGATTAATTAATGTGGAGAAACCGAAAGAGGTCTGTTTGAATTGGTGTATTTGGCGTTCCATTGTTTCTGTTTACCCTAATGGAAGTCAAACGTGATGGAGATAAATGTATGTATGAAATTTTTAGTAATACAGATTAGAATATTCATATAAATATATTGGCCGATCCTATAGCATTGATATATCCAAATCCGTTAATCTAGATATCGAATTCATGACCAGACCAAGCATGTTATCTCGAAATTAGGCGCTTTTTTAATAGGCGAGAATGGAGTAGTAATCCTGCCTGTGCTATCAGTAGACGCTGGCGGGGCCTCTGTGAGAAATGATAGGTGGGGAGGAAAAATAGGTCAGTTAGTTCATCGTGACGAATTATATAAAATATTAACCATGATATTTTCCAACAGGAACTCTAGAAGTCTACCTGAGTGGTATATTGCTAACAATGTGATTGTTAGATCCTATTACCAACAATTTTTATTCCCTAGTACCGCAGTAATGCCGTATATTTTGTCCATTGTATATAATCATACCCTGTTCTACAGTTGGCAAGTATGAAAAGTACAAAATATTTGCACACGGCGACATAACGTGTGTATGAAGCGACTTATTATGGGACTGGAGGGAAAAGTGGAAAGAAATGGGAATGCCATATTACTAAATTGCCAATATAAGTTAAATATTTTTGTAACGAACTGTTTACGAAATTAAGTTCTTAAACCGGCTGAAAAGAGTGACAGTACCAGGAAACGTACCAAAAAGATAATTTATTTTAAATAATCTTAAAGTCACGACTTTGACTACACTAGTACGGCGTACTTGGGATAGTTTAATTTTTATGGAAGAAATAAGTGAGAAAATTTTGAGAATACGCAAACCTCTATTAATAATCTCTCGAATAGGATTTTACTGTTTATAGTCACCAATTCTAAACTCATTTTTATAATTCTTATACATTCGTTTATTTGTGTATTAGTTTGTTTTATTTATATTAATTATGTCCTGTTTGAAATAGATTTTTTTTATGGTTATAAACTGTTTGATTTGACTAGTATTTGCGTACTGTGGCACTATTAGAGATATAAAATCTTGTCTTAAATCGAAAATACTTTATTTCAGGTTACTATGCCACGTTTGTCTACTGGAAAAGATGGACTCTCTGATAAACGCCAACTAGAATGGGAGGCTGCAGTTGAAGCGGTGATAAGGGATATCACGGCACCTACACCTGAAAAGAAGCCACCAATCGTGCAGATAGTAATATATGAATCCTCAGTTTAGTACAATTATTTATTATATTTGAAGTAATACATGCTACGCGTAAGCAAAGCAAGAGGGTCTTCCAAATGCGTGTGTAATGAGCAATTGCCTTGAATCATTAAATCGAATATAAATATGCACTTTATCACGATATTGCATAAAATTAAATTAAATTTAAATATCAAGAAGTCTTGCTTCTCTAATACAGATCTAGCATAACGTAAGGTTAGCTGATTAAAAGTAACTTTTTATACAAATATTAATTCTACATTTTCTCATAAAGCTGTAAGCTCATTATATTTAATGAACATAAAACTTCTAAATTAAATTATCGTCACATACTTTTGTTATGGAATTCGATCACGGGCGCTTATGCTGGCGTGACATTTAGAGATTACATTAGAGTATAAAAGTTCAAGGTTAACTTACTTCATTTCATTCTTCTGCATTGCTGTTTAAAACTGTATACGTTAAATGTAGCGGTAAATGCGTAATCTGAAAAGACAATTAGTTAAACAGTGTGGCATGTGGTCCGTGTGCCAAAATCAGAAAAAGATGTGACTCGTGATGTTTGTGTATATTGAATGGTTCGAGTGAAGATATTTTGTTCGACGACGTTTGTCTAGGCGCAACAAACTGTAAACGTAATGAATTAATTTACTATATTTTTGTCCACTGTTCCGTATGAAAATGAATATTGAACAATTGTTGAATATGACTTTAAAGAATTGATGTTATTGGAAATACTCCTAAAATTTCATTTTATTATTGCTATTGCAATGCACTTTATCTATATATTTCAATATTGTTTCAATCGCCGGAAAAATATAAAACAACGTACCTATTCTTACCTTTAAGTGTAAACTATAAAATGAACTACCTATTGGCCGTATAAAAGTAATTATAGGTTATAAACTAATATAAGAACGTATTGATTGCTACTGTATAAACATAAGAATGTTACTTGTTCTTATGGTAGAAATAAATAAACTTGGGGTTCGATTATAACGGATTGTTAGAAAAGACACTAATTATTTGCCTTTGCAACTGCCACTAATAAAGTTATAAAGAAAAAACTGACTACTGTACGGTTACTGTAATTTGCTATAGTTTTATTAAATTGTTCATTAAATTGCATTTCGTAAATATAAGTACGTTTTTTATTTCCCAATATATATGTAGTAAAGAGGTTTGTTTTTTTGGCGTTCCATTGTTTCTGCCTCCAATGGGAGACATATATATGTATGTAAATATATATGTATCAGCCGTTTACTGTGAACATAATCCTCCCCCATAAGGGGAGTTTTGTCAGCAGTTGCCACGCTTGGCAGGTGGCTTTGCAACCGCAGTTAAGCTTTGGTGATGTTATAAGAATGACGCTTCTGTTCATCTCTAAAGCACTAAGTTCCCTCAGTCGCCTTTTACGATATCCACGGGTAAGGAAAGGGTGGTTCTATGTTAGGACCACACGGCAAGTATATATGTATAAATAAATATTTTCTAGTATATGTAATAGTTAATGTTGCGATAAATAAATAACAACAATGAATTATGCTATGTGTATTAACAATGATATACGTATAATCTGCAGCAGTAAGTATTTTCATTCTCTGTTCAGTTGGATTAGAACATATTAGAGTATGTTATTAACATTTTAAATAAAATTATTAAAATTAGGTTTAATAATAATAGTCGTAAAACAACAACAGTGAGGAATCTAATATTCAATTTTTTTTTTGGTGGGTTATTATTTATTCTTTATTGCATTCCAAAATATAGTAATAATATCAGTTATTACAGATAATGTAAACAAAATTGAATACTTAACGAATATTTATTAGAGCCAGTGTTGAATATAATAAATGCTTATCTTGAATTAATAATAATCAAACTAAGTAATACAAATTGTTAATGGTTTGGTTATAAAAATTTATACAATTTTAATTTATTATTAAATTTTTATATACATGGATACATTCACTATGCATTAAGTTTAAATAAAAAAATTAGATACTTTGGACAAAATCTAGGAATGATAGATAGTTTCATTGTCAATTTGTTCTAGCCTTGATCTGTTTGGTTTTCGTACGATCACTTCGTGGCTTGTTGCGGTTTCCATTCTTATGTTGTTTCCCGATTTTATAGTGTAATAAAATATATTCCAATGTTTGTATAATTCGTAATTTATTGAGTAAACAAGAACAGTTTGCTACCAACCGGATGAGTGTACTATAATACTATAGGATTAACTACGTGTGGGTTTAGAAAATGACCATAATTCAAATTTTTATGAGCGGTGGGTTTGATTGTGTAACAGATGATATATTTAAAGTACTTATTATGATGATTAATAGTCTGTTTATATTTGTTATGCATTTGTTTAAGAATTGTCCTATTTAGTGCTTAATTCTAATTGTTTATGCTGTTACATAGTTATTATTTAATAATTTGATTCCACCAGATATTTAAAAATAGGTTCACAGTAAATAATGTGGGTAATTATGTATGTTTTATAGCAAATAAATCCATAATTTCATCTACCTTTTTATAAACGATTTCAAGTTGCAAACAAGATGATAACCACCCATCTGGCAGAAGGCGAACGACTTTTGTTAATGGGAAGGATTTTAGGAAAATTATCTCTATTCAAATAAAATTGATAATATTTTGATATACGCGTTTAGCTGTTAAACATATATATTGTTAAATAGGTTTTTCATAATGAAAAGTACAATATTTTGTAATAAATGGAACCGAACTCCTAAATTCATATAAAAGCTTTCACGATTTGCATGACTATATAATTTGACATTTATAAAGAAGTGCTTATACTGATACAAGTAATACCGGCGTTTAAACTATATCAGGCCATGATGTGCCATAGTAGACATATCGCTAAAGAGTAAAGAAATGTAATTGCCCAGAATTGTTCATCTTACATCTATGGAGATCTTTTACTATTTCTGCAATACAGTTTTTACAGAGGTTATTACACTATCATTATCATACAGGAAATTTTTGAGTCATAAAATTATATTTTGTTCATCAATAAATTTAGAGGAAGTTTATCGTTTATTTTTTACTCAAAAATAACGAAAATATAGTTGTGGACAAAAGGACTGTATGCTGGTATGGAAACACGGTGTTTTAGAAAGATAATATAATTATATAAAAAATATACATATCAAACCAACGGAGTAAAAAAGCGAAGGCAAAAACAAAACCGAAACTGACACAGACTTCAAATTATAAAAGGAACATCTTTTTAATAAAATTAAAAAAGAAACTAAAAAGGTGCGTCGTGCACATCGTCTAGGATTAAAGAAAAAAAAGATTACTTATTTACAGAAATTATTAGTCGAAGACTAAACAAAACTAATTATTCAGTTCTAACTATCGGCACTAACTTTTTAAAGGACGCCTTAACGTTCCTGATACCGTTTAAACATCAGCCACACGAACAAAATTGTCTCTTCCAAGAAACATAGCAACCACGTGACCTCGCGACCATGTACCTTGGGGTAAATCTCCATCAGCTATAAGAACAACATCTTCGATAGAAATACTTAGTGCTGAAGAGTTCGAACTTGAATGACTGTGCAGTAAACTGGGGAGATACTCTATCACCCACCGGCTCTAAAACATGTCACTTAGTCATACAGCAATTCTCCAGTTATTGTGTGAAATTAGATCTCGATTGCAGAGTGTCGCTGGTAAGGAGCTGCCAGCTGTGAACAATTGATCGCACAGCATTGCGTAATCCAAGAATCCAGTATTTTTGTCGAAGCTCGTTAACAATGGTTTCCGTATTTCCATGAGGAGTTCGAACGTGATAATAATGAATTAAAAGGAGAATACTTGGATGTTTCCATCTAAAAAAATAGAAAACTAATCTTCTTCATTGACATCTAAAACCGCTGTAATACGACCAGAGATGTATAAGTTTGTCAGGACCAATTTGTAGTGACAGCTTGCGGAGACGACTCTGAGGTTAAGTGGCCGATTATTAGCAATGTATGCAATCTCTTCTTGAAAATCGTCTTCTTGGCTACGACGTAGTATATGTGACTCAGCGAGATTTAAAGCTTCCGCCGTTAGAATATTTGAAATATTAGACTGTCTACGCGAAGTTAGTGCCGTTACATTAATAGAATTATCTAAAAAAGAACAAATACAATAATTTAATTTAATTAATTTAGAAATATCAACTTCTCGTTTTCGTAAACTACGCAATCGCAATATAAAAATGAATTTATGCGCAGTTGCTGTTGAACGTACTAATTTAATCCATGAACATATAAAGATGAATGAATCTAATCCATTAACGTAATAGATCAGCTGAGAGTGACAACTGCGAACTGGATGAAGTGATCTGATTGACTTGATGCAAATGAGGTTAAGTTAATTATGAGCTTCGATGATTATTAGAATGAATAAAGCAGTAAGCTACTAAAATAAGCTACTTTACTGACATCATAAAAAATCATAGTTCGCACTCTAAAAGAACGCGACTTCTGACGTGTATTGGTGTTAATAAAATTGGTGGATCATATATCCGTATAATATAAGCAAGAGCCTGTCGTTTGGTGAGTTTAGTAGGCATTACAAAATCTTTTTGAAGACCGGTATTAACAGCGATTAAATCAGTGCCTGGGTACCATAATAAAGCAAGTGTGCGTACAGGTGTACTAACAACACCTTTATCTACTTGAAGTGTATCTAATGACTGACTATGACACAAACTCTTAGGCATTAGTGATAGCGCCCTTGGTTCATTAGATATCCAGTTACGCATCTCTAATCCTGCTTTCTGATGTATATCAACAATATCTGCTACCAAACGAGCAGCTCTTTCCACAGACTCTACACTACTTATGCAAACGTCCATGTGTCCGTGATCAAATGTCCATGATCATGAACGATTACATGGGCCTTTTCAGGAAACTGCTGTTGAATATCAGTAGTGTCAGTTCATTAGGACTATCGCGCCTTGGAAAACGCTGTGCATCTCGGTCTGCGTTACAAATTTTAACCTGAGGAAACATTTCTTTAATGTCACCATTAATCGCGACACTCTCCTCACGAAAACGCATTAATATATTAAGCAGAGATTGCACGAGCAGCTCTTTCCACAGACTCTACACTTACTTATGCAATCGTCCATGTAATGGTCATGAACGATTACATGGACCTTTTCAGGAAACTGCTGTTGAATATCATCAGCATTCTTATTTTAATGAACAAAGCTGTGTGGACGGGCTTGATGCAGCGCCAAAAATGTGGACAAAAGGACTGTATGCTGGTATGGAAACACGGTGTTTTAGAAAGATAATATAATTATATAAAAAATATACATATCAAACCAACGGAGTAAAAAAGCGAAGGCAAAAACAAAACCGAAACTGACACAGACTTCAAATTATAAAAGGAACATCTTTTTAATAAAATTAAAAAAGAAACTAAAAAGGTGCGTCGTGCACAATAGTAGATCAAAATTACTATAAAATTATCAAATAGTTGCGTTAACTAGTTAGGTAAGTGATATAAAGGAAACCTTTGTTGCATTGCTAGTTTTGGTTTTGGTTTTCGTTTAAAACGTTAAATATAGACGCTACTATATTTATTTATATGTATTTTCACTAAATTATATGGAACTAAAGTATAATACCTTAATCCCAAGGAATAGTTTGGCGAACAATGAGGGATACCATGGGGACTGAGGTATATTCTCTGATGTTCAGGACACCTACCATTCATGCCAATAGGCAACGGTTACAATCAGTGGTAATCGATAATATCAGTAACAAAACACAAATATTTATTTTATCACCTAGGTACTAGCTTTTTGCACGCTATTCACAGATTTCAGAAATAGGAAGTCCAATGAAATGTGATGACGTATCAAGATGAAACATATAACAAATTGTAAGTAAGACTATCAGGAATATATCTGAAAACTACATTAAATTCTTACCAGAGGGAGACTTTGTACAAAAGTTGATTGCTTGGGCACCTCTGTCCCATCGTGTTTCTACCGTGAAGTAGTTGTGTTTGTATGGCTGTGTTTTGGTTTGAAGGGTGGGATATGGCGTAAATTTACAGGGTATAGAGGAATAACACCTGAGTCCTCAGAAATGGCAACGCATGGGGGTTATCATGGGCGAAACAGTATACTCTGTTATGTCCATGGTACTGCTCATGTCTATAGGCGACGGTTACCACTTTCCATCAGGTGGGCCGTTAGCTTGTTTGCCATTCTAAGTTATATAAAAATATGGTATAGTAATTTTTGTGTAATGCCAGAACAAAAGCATAAATAGACAATTACAAATGTACAGAGACAATATTTGTAAAAAATATTGTTTTGGCATCTATTGGTCTTATTAGGCACTAATAGTATTTTTTTTAAATATCCCCCATATACAGACATCGTCTTGTTCCGTGTAATTGTATAGGATACTTTCCTTGATACGGACAGTAAAAACCAAAGGGAAGTATTGTCTCATTTCAATCTTAAGTCCGGACTGTCGAACAAATGAATTTGCATATTGTAAATTATAATTCGTACTTATAAATGTGCTAGAAGCATGCATAAATAGTAATCAAAGGCATTTGATGAATGCCAATGAGAAAAACTTTACTTGCGACAGGGATCGAAACTATCCTTATCTAAATAATATATACTACAATCTTTACTACAAATTAAAAATATTCGAACATTTAATCTGAAGATTAAGTTGACGTTGATCGTTTATTATATATAAAATTCACGGTAAATATTTATTTTGTCACCTATTCTATTTTATAACATCTATCTATTTATTACGTTTAGAATTGTTGGAATAATATTACTACTGTATCTATCAAAAATATTAAGTAAATAGTACAGGTAACCTACAAGGCAAGTAATGATAAAAAAAAATTGTACAAAAATATTGAATGATTACGAATCTCTGTGTCGATGAGTGATTTTCCGGATGCATGATTGAAATAAACTGTTTCACAATACTGGATATAAATTGATCTTTACTCATCCATATTCATGGAAAATGATGTGAGCATCAGGGAGTATATTAGAAGTGTGTAACAGAGTTTAGTCATGCTATTTTTACTCAACATTATACGATTGCAAACATACATTGAATTCTGAATGATTTACTAGTTACTACTCGGAATAAGCGACGTTACAAAATTGATAATATTAGATAGGTAGACGTGGTAATTGCCTTTAAAAATCACTATTTTGTGTGAATGTAAATAAACCCATATGTATGTAATATGGGTTTATTCACATGAGAGTTAGCACCTGAAAAAATACTGTGTATTCAAACTGGTTAATACTGACTGATAAATAAGTAAATAGTAATTTGTCAAGAAGAAAAATTGGAATTTTTACTATTACACCGTATTTTTCTGAAATAACATTATCCTTTGAATTCGATCTGCAAGAAATCTTACAGGAAAATGTAGTAGGGTGACTTTCACAAATGGCTATCTATAAAGGAATAACAGTATTTTATTTTTATGGACTTCCCTATACATCAAACATTCAGATGAAATTCTTCATTCGAACATTTTGACCACGCGTGTGAAAAATTGTTTTGGGTAATAAGAACTTACATAAATATGAAAAAGGAACTCACTTGGATAGTTTTTGTTATTTTTTATTAATTATTATTGAAATAACAATTATTATCATAAAATAAGCTGTCAGGGATGTTGTAATTTGTTTATTTTTTAAAATTATGATAATAATGATGATACAGCGGTTCACTTTAGATGGTTTGCAAGTAAAATTTTTGCACATTACAAATATTTGTTTTCTGTTTGTATTAGACATGAAATTAAAAAAAATACTTTATGAGATTTTCTTTTTTTTATCTCACGAATGTGACAAACAAGCATACAGTTCGTCTGATAGTAAATGATCACTGCAGCTTGTGGATGCCTATAACTCTAGGAGTATCACGTGCGTATGACCAACCCTGACAAAATCTTAATACATGTTTTTTGAAGAACCTCATACTGTAAGTCTCTAGGGAAAACTTTGGCTTATTCTACAACTTGAGTTTTCGCGGGAGGAAACTATTCTGAAACCGCACTGTACGTAGTCATTCAGCCTTCGTATGAAGATGAATGTCCTGTCGTTCGTTAGGGGTACAATGATAAAAAGTGACTATAGGCATCATTTCGAACAGTTCTTCAGAACACAATCCGACAATAATTTGGCATTGATAATCTCAGAATTACACAAATAATGTTCAAAGATAATTCACACACTAACTTTAAACAATATATATATGTATATAATATTTGTCAACGCTCTCTTTTCGCCGTGTAATAGAACAATAAACAATTTTAATATTTAACTACTAATTACTACTGACTCATGTGAATACAGCCTAAAGAACACCAGGGAAAGATTAATATGAGGCATTACAAATACTAATAAGTAACTAATTAAACACTTAACTATGTAATTACCCGCCTCAAAAAATAACCACTGATATACATGTGATTACAGATGTCGCACATTTTCAATGTATATTAAAATTGATTTTCTATTTAATTCATACTAGATCTATTGATGCGTATAAGATTATTGCATATTTATAGTTTTGTTTTCTATTCATAGTAAATAAACGTATTTTTATTGTACTAAAACTGTACTAAACGAATTTATAGAGAAATTAAATTGTTTATCGTAATGTTAAATTATATATACAACGACAGCCTGAAAATAGTTTTTGTATATGCGTTCTACTTTTACTCAACTGCATAGGTGTAAGATTAGTAGAAAGTAAATAATGGAGATGATAAAGTCACAAAAACCTAACTATTGCACTTTTGAAGAAGATTTTACATATATGAAGAATAAAAATATCCTTCTTTCTTTGATAAAAATACGTAAAATACACTTGCGACATCTATATAAGTGTATGTCTCTGGAAAATAATGTTTTTTGTAAAAGCCATGAACCGATGTAATTTAACATTAGTGTCTCACTCAACAATAGAATTGGTAAGATACAAGCGGCGAAATGGATCTGGAGAGCCAGGAGAAAATATTATTTGAAAAGTATTTGGATCGAACAAATAAATTTTTATATGTTACGGGAATGCAACTGAAGGAAGACATAGGTTGTAACAAGTCACTATTACAGCTTCTACGCCACCGGTGGTTTTATTATTTTAACTTTTTCTACCTCACTACTTCTATTATGGGACAATTTGCGTGGTGGGTCGAAGCGATTATAACAGACAGGAGTATCACAGAGATTACTTATTTCATGCCTTGCGTCACTTTTTGTTGTCTCGGAAATATGAAGGCATTCTACTTTATAAAATACGTCCATTTCGTTAATGACACTGTAAACAGTTTGAGAAAGGTACAGAGTTTGACATCGGAAATGCGAAAATATCGAAATGAAGTTGAACATGAAATGTTAAACAACAGATTGTGGATTTACAATATGTTCACTTATCTCACCTCAATTACAACTGGAGGAGCGCTACTGTCGTTTATGATGGGTCCTTTTCTTATATTGGGTGTTTATTACTATTCAACTGGTGAAATGTTAATTACTTTACCATTTTTTCTTTGGTATCCTGTTGATCAAACGAAGTTAACCAATTGGCCGTTTCTATATATTCATCAAGTGTGGTCAGGTATGCAAGTGTAATATTTATTTGTTAATTAAAAAAAAATTGTTTTTAAGTATTACAAAACTAATGTTAACTTACATTTTTCTTTTAGTTGAAACAGGAAAATAATCCTTCTATTTCTCTGACATTTATTTTTTAGCATCAATAAAAATAATAAATTAAAAGGTCAAATATAGAGAGACGTCAAAGAAGCCACGATAAAACAAAAAAAAAATAACCTTGTGTAGAAAAAATAGGGGATTTGTTTAAAAAACAAGAGTGTCTTCAATAAAGAGCAAGTTTTAGAAATATGCTTAATAAATATTTAATTTTACTTGCAGCTACAATTACTGTTTTTAAGGTTTTTGGTCCCGATAACTTTTTCGCAACTTGCTCCACATTTATAAACATACAATTTCATTGCTTACGGTATGATATAGAAAAAATTGATGTTGGAACGAAAAACAGAAATAAATGTCTCATAGATGGTGGTTTTCGATTACAATTTGAACAGATAATTCAAAGGCATAAAATATTAATACGGTTAGTAATATTAGTATAACACGAAGTAAAAGAACTAATATATATCTAAATATAGTATTTAGTAAGTTTAAACTCTCTCTATACCTCAACAATATAAATAATTTAAAAGTGTCTTAATTTTGAATAGATAATTTAATTATTCAATTTAGTAGTTACTTAATGAAATATTAAAATTATTTTCTCAGATGTGTGAATTTGTTAGAATCAATTTTTGCAAAATCCACTCTATTCAACGTTGCTACAAGTTCGTTAATCATATGTGTTACGGGTTTCAACGTTACGGTAAGTTTTTTTTTTATATTTATATATAAACTGTCAGCTTCAGTCGTGGGAATAACCAGTGATCATTAAAAGAATGATATCATAATAATCCATTAATATCTTAATACAATTTTTTTTTTATACAACTTAGAATGGCATATATGTAAAGTCTCGCCTATAGACATGAGCAGTATCATGGACATAACAGAGTATACTGTTTCGCCCATGATACCCCCCATGAGTTGCCATTCCTGAGGACTCACGTGTTATTCCTCTGTACCCAGTAAATTCACGCCATATCCCACTCTTCAAACCAAAACACAGCCATGCAAACACAACCGCTCACGGTTGAAACACGAATAGGACATCCGACTTTTGTACAAAGTCTCCCTATATATGAATCTCTTCCCGAAAAAAAAGATATTAATATGCTATTACCATCCAGACCGATCGGTTTGGTATCCACATTTATTTGAATATTGTATTATTAGTTAGGCAACGATTTTGTATTTTCAGAACCTTAAATAAATCCTTTTGTATAATATTGAAATTGCAGTACTGAAAAAAACATTTTTTAAGAATATTAACGTCCTTATTACTATAATCCCTGACGGTACAGATAATAAATATTTGCTATTGCAATGAACATAACACTAGATGTGCCCACATTTAGTCGAACATATTAGTATGCATTTTATCAGGGGGCGAGTCTACTTCTGTCACTTAAATTAGTTTTCCATTACTGGAGAGTTAGTCGGAAATTTAAATTGAGACAAAGTTTATGGTGGTGGTGGATTGAACTCACGACTTTTGAGGTTAATAAGTCGGGATAAAACAGTACTAGGTCACAACACTCTCCAGGAGAGGAATTCCGGAACTAATGAACCGAAATTCGGAAGCCCAGCAACGGGCAAAGGAATAGAATAGTTCATTAATTTTATCTCAATAATTTTAACCATGTACTCAATTATTTCAGACAATTGAAAATAAAATTTTAATGATGCCGTTCGTTTCGTTCTTTCTAATGTCTATGCTGCAAGTAGTCGTATTATGTTACTACGGCGATAAAATAATGCAATATGTATGTATTTTTTTTTATGATTAACGTAAATCTTATTATATAAAAAATCATTACATGTACTATGTTCATATACGCTAATCTCCGAAAGTTTCCAACCGAATTTGGTTCATTTTAGCTTGTCAGATAAGATAGTTTTGGACTAGTATGTGGCGTGGTCGTGATCTCGATCTTATCATCAATCATGGAAAGCCAGGAAACATGGAATCATGGAAAGGGCAAGTCGTTTGTATTACTAAGAAAATACAAATATTAAGAATGAAAGAAAGCAATAAAATTATAAATACGGATTCATAATATCCTAGGACTCAGTATAACGTATACCTAACATACGAAGAGTACTAGAGATGTCTTACTCTTTATTTGTGATAGCTATGGTGCTGTTCGTGTCTTTAGTCGACGGTTATAATCCCTATCAGATAAGCAGTGTGCTTCAGCCATTTCAAATGTAGATTTTTTTTAATGGGTGATAATGGAATGGTAACCCATCCGCGCTATCGGTATACGCTGGCGGGGCACCAGTGAGGGATGCTAGGTGACGATGAAAGCAAATTAGTTAGTCCATCGTGACGAATTCTACTAGAATTAAATGTAGGTATTAATTATTTATTAAGTAATAAATAAAGTATTTATATGTTCGACTATCTTTGTATTATAGTAGCTTAATAGGTTTAGGTTAACCACTTTTTGGTGGTTTTGGGTTCAATCTACGCACAATACGAATATTTGTATTCACGAGTATATCTGATTATATTATTGTAATTTTCTATGTAAAAGAATAATAGACATATACTAGTTGTATCCTGTGACTTCACCCACGTAAATACTTTTTAATATTATAGTAAGGATATAAAAGTATGTTTGTTACTTCATTGCGCCTTAACGGCCTAACCAATCACTATGAAATTTGGTATAAACGTACTACGTGGGGTGTAGCCATCTTTAGCTACATTTTATCCTAGTTACTGAATATTTCCCAGTCACGCAGGCAAAGACGCGAATAAAAGCTAGTCAATATATAATATATAATACATCCTGTGTTATAAATTAGCATATAACCTATCCGTGTATTAAATTTTATTCAAATTTGTATAGTAGTATTTGAGTGCAAGAGTAACAAACATCCATCTATCGGTACAAACTTTCCCATTTATTGTTTTAATTAGATTAAAAAGTATATATGTATAACAAGTACCTATATACTCTGCTTAGTTTAGGACTAATGCGCTGTATAGATAATTGCCCAGTATTATTTATTTATTTTTCAGAGCATGGAAATAAGTGATGCCGTATACAACAGTCAATGGTATTTGGCAGATGCCAAGGTCATGAGAGATTTACTGTTTCTCTCCATCAGGTATCTCACTACGTCGTTAGTTATATTATTTGATATTAGATATTTATATAAAACCTTTACTTAATAATTTAGAAATTGTACGTTTTTATTTTATTACAAATGCATTTTATTATTTCTAGATCTCGGAGAGCATGTAAATTAACTGCATATCGGTTTACCGATCTTAATTTGAATACGTTTGGTAGAGTGAGTATCATATTTTTTAAAACTCTATTTAGTATATGATGATATTATAATATATAATTATAATGGGAAAATTGTTAAAAGTAGACGAAATAATAGATGTACTTAAGGATAAAGGCCTTTGACACACAGTTTTTTTACTAAATACACCATGAGGGACCCATCATGAACATACCTAAATATAGGAAAACTATCATAATTAATTGTAATTATTATTATAACGTTTTTTCCAGTCGGACAGTTTTAAATCTTATGATCTACTGCTTTAAAACTAAATCTTATAGGTGATTTTTGTAAATTTCAGATAATGGGAAGGTCTTGGTCATACTTCGCATTGCTGCAAACAGTATACGGAGGAAAAGGATTTAAAAATAATTAAATTTTAAATATGCATGTAAATGTTGTGGATGTCTGTGGGCGATGGTAATCACTTACCATCAAGTGAGCCGCATGCTCGTTTACCCCTGAGTTATAAAAAATATACATTTCAGATTTTAAGTATTGTGTTTGGCAATGTCGTGTAAAACTTACAGTAGTGCATCACAATTCATCGAGACGTTGGTAGAACTTTAGCGACACGTATGATAACTAAATCTTTGTGAACTTTAAAATTACATATATGACATATAATTATGTAAAGAATATGAATATTACAACAAAATCGTTTCTAAAATACAAAAACACATAAATATAATATTTATAATTACTACAAGTACTTTACATATAAAGTAAAAATTTTATGATTAAGATATTTTGAATCTTTAGTTACTAGTATGACGAAGAAGATTGAACGAACTATTGAGAATACTACGCTCGAAGTTGTCGATGAGTATGTATACCTGGGACAAGTTATCCAAATGGGTAAGTCCAACTTCAACTGAGAGGTCAACTCACGAATCCAACTCGGCTGGACAGCGTTCGGGAAACTACGTCACATCCTTTTAACCAAAATACCTTAGAATTTGAAGACAAATTCTTTAACCAGGTGTTGCCAGTTATGACTTTTGGAACTGAAACATAATTCTACACGATTACCCGTATACAAAAGCTTCAAGTTACTCAGCGGGCTATGGAGAGGGCTCTTTGTGTGATAGAATCCGAAACAAAGATATCCGCAAAAGAACTAAAATAACCGACGACCGACGGGGAAAAAGGTTCTTGACTGGCGACCGCGTACGGGCAAACACAGTGTAGAACGTCAACTACTAAATGGAGTGACGACCTGAATGCATTGTAGGGATTCAGTGGATGCAGGTGGTTCAGGACCGTTCTTTATGGCAGTATATGGTGGAGGCTTGTGTCCAGCAGTGGATGGATTATGGCTGAAATGATGATGATGATGATGACGAAGAAGATTGAATATCATATAGAATGAACTCATAAATTATGTGCATATACCATGAGATTTGAGTATGATAGAAGCACTTATCCAGACAAATTGGACAAAACTTGATGTAAAGCTTTTTAGAGTAGATTTACAGTTTTTTATAGAATCTTAGAAATGTAGGGTGTTAGTAGCGTGATTTTACTGAAAAATTTGTTTAAATAAATGGACATAAAAACTCGGCATTTTGTTTTTGTTTTATTTGCAGAATTATTATAAATGGCACCATCACTTAGTAAAAAAAAAACCTGCTTGATGATTTGTATTTACTAAAAAAAAAACTTATCTCTCTAGAGTCAAGACGACCATGTCCCAGATCCACTACGTTGCAAGATGTATTGTCTTCAAAAGGTCTGGTTATTCTTTATTATTTCATATGTAATTAGTAAGAAAAGAATAATAAATTCGAAACATTTTCAAATTTATTTTAAGTAGATTTATTATGTTGGTTTGTAATAGTATGGGAAATATCATTTAATTATATAATATTATGCTGATCATATACTATAAATATATCATAATAATTGATTGCAACTCACACTCTTCTATATGTTTATTAGAATACAGATTTAGTGACACAACTGCTTTTATATTGAAAAACAAAATATATCACTTTGGATTTTCAATATTCATATTTTATTCATACATGTGCTGTCTGATACTTCTTTATCTTTGGGATATAATATAGGTTAAATTTAAACTAAATTGACGTGATATTTCAAAATATTTATTAATGTGTATGTCAATATATATTCCTAAAGTCGCGCATGTATTTATAACAGAAAACCAAATTCAGTTGATTTTATATGAGTTGAGTATTATTAGAGATCGACAGGCGGAAAATCTTATTTATATTTGTTTTATTTATGTTATGTTTAGCATTTATACGACAAAAAGATTTTAATGGTACAATCTTTTTAAAAAATATGATTTTACTCAATGTTTTTAATAAATTATTTTTTTAAGTATAATTTGAAAACACAATACACATTTTTTTATGCAACTTAGAATGGCAAACAACCTGATGGCCCACCTGATGGAAAGTGGTAATTGCTGCCTATAGACTTGAGCAGTATCATGGACATAACAGAGTATCCTGTTTCGCCCGTGATAACCCCCATGCGTTGCCATTCCTGAGAACTCAGGTGTTATTCTTCGGTACCCTGTAAATTCACTGCCATATCCCACCCTTCAAAACTGAAAAACAGCCATGCAAAGACAACTGATTCACGGTAGAAACACGAAAACACGATAAAGGTGCACAAACAAACGAGTTTTGTATAAAGTCTGCCTCTGGTAAATTATATATTTTGTAATAGTAGGCTAATGCCTACAGTAGATATAAGGAACGATATATTTATAGGTGTGCAATATTTATTGATTTAATATAAGTACCTGTATTCATCATCATTACCATTTCAGCCGTTATTTCTCCATTGTTGAATATAGGAACTAATAATAAAGAACGATTCTGACTCACCTGCATCAATTGACTTTCTGATAGGTACCTACAATACATTACAATTAAATATGGTAGAGTTATAACATTTTTTACTATATTCATTATAATTTTTTTTAATAATAATAATAATAAATAATAATAATAATTTATTTCAAAATAAACGTTACATTTTAAATATAGGTAAAACTATGCTCCCTAAATAGGTAAATCCTAGACTTTAGGATAAGCAGTGCTCTTCCCTATACGGCATAATGACACAAAATTATATAAAAAAAGAAACAATAAAAGTTAAGGTACTAATAGCAAACAAAAGCTTAATGCAAATAAACACAAGGGTCATCACAAGAAAAGTAGCAACCGTCTTTATATATGTCTATAGACATGAGAAATACCAGGAACTTCACAAAATACAAGTATATTATGACATATTTCATTCATTGCAACTTGAGAACAAAGATGTTATCTTCTGTCTGTCCGCTGATTATGGACCCTTCCTTTGACTGAAATACAACACAACAAGTATTGTTGCTTTACGCAGAATATATTATATAAATGATAGACGTCGCTATCAATTTTGAGTTCAACTTTTTTATAAATTCGTAAAGTATATGTATATTAATTTTGATTATTTTCTAATTAAAATTGGCATTACAGTATGGGCGTCATTGTGATACCCATGGTATCCCTTATTTGTTGCTATACCTAAGGACTGAGGTTTATGCATAAGATTACTTTTTTTTAAATATTTACTTATATATTATGTTAACATGGAGGCGCTTGTAACTAGCTTATTCATCGCATTTGATTATCACCCTACAAAAATTTTAATTATATGTGATATTGAAATATATATTTTAAGTAAAAATACATAATTTATACAAACTACAAAAAATCACAATAGCAAGAGTTCTTGTAAATTTGCTTTTGTACCTGAATTGGGCCAGTCATCATGAACACCAAAATATGCCGATCAATACAGAACCTTGGCTATTAGGACTATTACGAAAGGGTGCGACACGTTTATCAAATCCATGCTCATGTTTTACTGGAACACACGCACTTCCCATGGACTTTAATCCCATTTCACAAATGCGTCAATTTTTATAGCCAAATCGCAATCACGAAGGTAATAAACTGAAAAATGTTTGTTTACTAAATTCAGTAACTCATTAAGATGAAACGTACCTATCTTGGATGTAAGAACATCAAAGAGATTCTATTAAATTTTTAAGTACATAATGTACGTATTATATAGTTCTAAAATAAATATTGAAAAAATTATACAGACTGTAAAAACTGTGCACTTAATGGTAAAATAACAATACAATTTGAATTAATCAAGTATATTGTTTTGTTTTTAAACGAAATTTACATTATAAATTTTTAAGCAAATTAATATTTACCTTATTTACTACGTAGTAAAATTTTAGTGATTATCTGTAATTTTCTTACCTTTTTTCTGTTATGAAGAAGTAGAAGAAAGAGAATAAATTATTTTTATTGACTAAAAAGCATCTCGAGGACAATATATTTAGGTTAACAATATAGGTCAATAACCTGTTTGGTTAAACTTAACAATTTACATAAGCAATTATAAATTAGTCCGATGAAAGAATTAAAAACGGAACGTAAAGCAACGAGCCTACTAATAGGTAGGTATACGCACTTCTTAATAGTATTATTTTTTTAGAGACTAGTCTTTACTAGTGAATTTGTCTACGCACGTTCAATGATTTGTCGACTGGGCTAAAAGTATGCTATATGACTGTTATGCCAAATAGTATCTATGTATATGCCAAATTATTTAATTATTAGTTAAGGTCTTAAAAAATTTAGAAATAATAAACAAGTGGTCAGAATAAATACAAAAAATGTAGTTGTAGAACTGTAGATCATCATATTAACAACTTCTATTTGGAAGGATAAAGTGTATACGGCTTTGGTAGCAGCAGATCCTCTTCGCAAAGTCTTACTGACATTTAGTTAGTTACGTACATATTACTCTTTTTTTATGCAACTTAGACTGGCAAAAAAGCTAACGGCCCACTTTATGGAAAGTGGTAACCGTCGCCTATAGATATAAGCAGTACTATGGACATAACAGAATATATTCATAATGAATAGACCATAAGAGGAAAAAGTTTAACTATTTTTAGACTACGATCAGTAATACTACAAAGTGTCAAGAATAGGCATAGTGGTTTCCAATCAAATTTTTTGTGGGTAAGATACCTACGAAAAAATTAGAAATTAGAAATAATTATGTATAGATAGAGCATCTAATGTTAAAAAATAGGTTACATTTTAGTAAACTTCTTTTTGCTAAACTGAATTTTGATATATATTAAACCAAAGCAAAGCGCTCAATTATTTCAAAATTAAAAGTAATTTAATTAAATATTAATTTCTCAATACAGGTTGATTTTTTTAAATTTAAATTGTGAACTTTTTTCTTATTTAATATAAATATATATATATAAGAATTGTAAATTATTATACATATATTATGCCAACCTACTTACTAAGCGGGTCTAGCAAGCTAAAGTTAAGCAGTGGACAGCTAACGGCTGGTATGATGATACTGATACATGTAATGAATAAAATGGTTGCCACTTTCAGTAGTTGGTTTCGAACTAAATAAGTCTATTCTCGGATAGAAAGAATAAATAATATTAATATGTCAAACTTCATGTCTATTTGTTGAGCCTTTAAGGTGTCAAAAGGTAATAGATAAACAAACTCACTTTCACATTTACTGTATTAGTAAGGATCATGTATAACATCACGTATATTTATAATAATAACCTTAATATCATCGTAGTAAGTTATTACTTTAATAATTTATTTTGAATAAGTTCCGGTTCCCGCGAATATAGTTAAAGGAACAATTGTAACAGCAATGTTCGTGGGAAAAACAACAATGTGCCAATATGTGATAAACACTAATAAGCGGCCAATTAGACATGTAATTACTCAATTACTCACCTTGAATGAATATGGATGTTATTTGTCGAATATGAATTGACAGGAGTTACAAATTTATATATCACTCGATATCGAGATTAGTCAGAGAACGGAGACAAGATGCAACAAAAAAGTAGAGAAAAAGTCTTATTTGAAAAGTACTTGCGTCGAACAAATAAATTATTGAATATTACGGGCATACATCTAAATGAGAAGGATAGTAATAGATCACTAACACAACGCCTTCGTCATCGTTGGTTTTACTGCATTAACACTATATGGCTATATACAGCTATTATTGGACAAATCAAATGGTTTATGGAAGCTATTACGACTAACAAAGGCATTACAGAAATCACATACTTCATGCCCTGTATTACTCTTTGTTTCATAGGATATTTTAAAGCCTATGATTTTGTGAAGTATGCTCATTGTGTTAACGAAGTGGTAGACAATTTGAGAAAATTGCAGAATATGTCTTTAGAAAAGCAAAAGTATCGCGATGAAGTTGAAAAAGAAATGTTAAACAATATATTGAGGATCTATAACATATTCACTAACCTCCATGTATATACTTACTTTCTTGGTCTGCTGTCATTTAGTATTGGTCCCCTACTCACCATGGCTGTTTATTACTATTCAACTGGAAAAATTATTTATATGTTGCCTTTTTTCATTTGGTATCCACTTGATAAAACAAAATTAATAAATTGGGTCATTATTTATATTCATCAAATTTGGACAGGTATTTTAATAAATTAATCTTTAAAATATGAATAACTTATGAAACTTAAAACACGAACTCAAACTGCAAAAATAAAAGGATGTTGTCAAGTCTCTTAGCGAGCAAAGAGAATATATCTTTCTTCCTTGCTCGATAAGCGACTCTGGGTTTTACTCCGTGACAGAATCCTGAACTCACAAAACTTAAGGTATTGATATAGTCAAAAGGATTTACGAGTGGTAATGAGTTGGCTATATTATATAGCTCGAAGAGCAGATAAATCGTTTGGGAAGAAAGGTTTTTGAGGTGGATGCAAATGACGTGGGATCGTACTTTATGGCTGACCTATTTTTTAGCAGTGGACAACAGATGGGATGTAATGATGAATGACATTAATAATATACTTACAAGAGTTCATTGTTTAGCGATCTTTTAAACGTTGTTTTAATAAAAATTTATTTCCAGCTGTTATTGCTGTCTTCACGGTTTTGGGCTCTGACAATTTCTTTGCTACTTGCTCTACATTCGTAAATATACAATTTTACTGCCTTCATTATGATATAGAAAAAATTGATACTGGTACGAGAAATAAAAAAGGAAGATATGTGAATTATGTTTTTCGGGGACAATTTAAGCAAATAATTAAAAGACATAAAATATTAATTGAGTGAGTATTGATCTATATAAATTAGTGATACTTACGTCGTGTGTCATTAGTATTTTTTTTGGAAATTGGAGTAGAAAATCTGATCTACTAACTGATAGAAAGTGATAAACGTCATCTATAGAATAGTATAGTAAGTTAAACCTTGAATCGGTTGTGTACTTTTTGAGTTTATTCCTTACAATCAAAAAATTAAATCCTTTGGTTTAGATTAATTTTCTTTAACATCATCTTCATATCAGCTGTTAACTGACCATTGCTGAACATGAGCCTTTACCACAAAGGATGTTTTGCCAATAGTTGCCATATTTGGCGGGCGAGTTGGCAGCCGCAACTAGGTTTATAGTGATGTTTTAAGAAGGACACTGCTGTCCATCCTATTACTATTAACCTCTACCATTTCTATAACATGCCGATTGCTAACAAAATTAATTCAAAGTTTGGTGGTAGACTTTTTCCTTTAAATGTTGGATTCTAATACACTTTATGAAATGTAAACATGCCGAATATTACAACAATTGCAACAATAGACAATTTTTCTGACGATCTTATAGCGATATTTTTTAATAGATAATAATGAAATAGTAACTTTATTTGTACTATCGATATATGCTAGCGAGGTACTAGTTTTCTATAAATGAAAATGAAAGCAGGTCGGTTGACCCATCGTATCGAATTTATCAAGAAATTAACCACGATAGACTCGATAGACTAAAGCTATCTCGTGATGGTCGATCTGAGTAGGTATATTACTAGCAATGGGGCTGCTGGTCCCCTTTACTGATAATTCTTTTCCTTTTCCTATTATAGGTTTTAATTATATATTTATGATATTTCTTTTATATTGTTATTAATTTTTATAAAATCTTTTTGTTTAAAAATTAGTATCATTACAAATTTTGTAATTATGATTATAATATAATTTTGTATTAGATGCAAAAACTTCTAATTTATACGAGCAAATATTCGTTATTTTATTACTTTAGCCGTTAACTGTTCACTATTGGATATAAGCCTTTCTTATACGAGGAGTTTTTCCAGTAGTTGTTATGCTTGGCAGGCAGGTTGGCAACAGCAGTTAGGCCTTTGAGGATGTTTTAAGAGGGACGTTGCTGCCCATCTCTCGCCTAATCTAATCACCTCTTAGGATACCCACGGGAAAATTAGTGATGGCCCGTTCTATGCCGGGACTACACGGCAAATTAGATCGTATACAGGTTTTCAAAATATTATATAATGCCTTCGTTCGCAGTAGATTAGAAAGTAATGCAATTATCTGGAATACACATGACTCAAAATATATATTCATGGTAGAGAAACTTTCGTTACAACAAAAAAAAAACTGTATCTGTATGTCTTTAATAAATTTGTAAAAGAAGAAATGTTTTTAAAAAGAAATCGCAAACGCTCTAAATTACTACTACATTAATTATTTTTGCAATAACTTTTTTTTATATATTTCCTAGTTGCGTGAATTTTATGGAAACAATTTACACAAAATCGATCTTATTCAACGTTGCTACGAGTTCAGTTATCATCTGCGTTACTGGCTTCAATATTATGGTAACATGTTTTATTCTGTTTACATTTTAATATTACTTTGATTCAATTGATATTCTTGTTTTGCTAATATTTAGTTAACTACTATCTTTTCAATGTCTCTGTTTATCTCTATTTATATATAAAACGGGAATTTTATGAACTATATTTCTGACAATTGATTCGACTGTATTCTGTATTCTGAAGAAAAATTATAATGCAACTGTAGGAAACGATAAACATAATAGACATTATTAAAAATTGATTATACATTTTAAAAATAATATCTCTGTTTATTACAAACACTTTTAAACAAAGAGATTTTTTTAAATTTCTTATTTTCTTTTGTATTTTAATTACTTAAATATTTTTAAAATACGCAAGAAATAAAATAAACTAAGTAAATAAAATAATTTATTTTACAGATAATAGATCACATAACTATGATGATACCTTTTATTTTCTTTCTCGTAGCGGCAACCTTACAAATAGTCGTTTTATGTTACTACGGGGACAAAATAATGCAATACGTATGTATACAAAATACAAAATATATTTTTATTGTTTTTAAATAACTATTATCTTTAATCAATGTTTATAATTATTTTATATGTATATGTGTGACAGTTTTTACAATTTTCATTTCTATAACCTAGCTCAGACACCGATGTTTAAACTGATCCAAATGTACAAATGAATTCGTACCTACTTTTATTGTAATTTCCATTGCTGAGTTTGTTATAATCATGGTTATGCAATAATGTTATTATTTATTAATTTTATTTGAATAAATTTAATTAATCTATGATTATTAGAAAAACTTTTACTTATTTATTTATTTATTGGAAAACAATTTTACAAACAAATGTTTGCACAAAATATTATATACAATACAATACAATACAATTTGTATTAAGTATGTACTTTTTACAATGATATATTTTTATTTTTTGTATATAAGCATGCATTTATAAAAATTTTAATAAATATTATTTGTACTACACAAATGTATACAAAACAAATCTACACAATTGTATATGTATATCACAGGTTCTGCTTAGTTTGGAATTAAATGACGCTGTATACGGCCAGTGTTACTTATTTATTTATATTACAGAGCATGGAAATAAGTGATGCAGTATACAATAGTAAGTGGTATTTAGCAGATGCCAAAATCATGAAAGATTTACTGTTTCTTTCTATTAGGTAATTAATATTAAATATCTATTATTGTTATATAAATATTATTTAATTAGTAATCGTGTATTTGCATTATAATGGGCTCTTATTATTTTTAGATCTCGGAGAGCCTGTAAAATAACGGCATATCAGTTTACTGACCTTAATTTGAATACATTTGGCAAAGTAAGTATTAAACTTCTCTTAAGGTTCGTATACGAGTAATGTGTGATATAATGTATTAAAGAGACATGTTTTGAAAGTAGATGAAACAAGATATTAATTTGCATTTTTATCGTTTTGAGTTTTGATACTTGGTCCTCTCTAACTTTTCCATACGAGAACTATTGTAAAAATTAATAGATAAAGAAAAATTTACATAATTGGTTTACAATATTTGTTATTATAACAATTCTTATGATATGTTGTCTTGGTCTTTGTCATTTGTCATACATAATAATTTGTTACAATATTTAATTTACTTACAATTTTCAGATAATGGGAAGGTCTTGGTCATATTTCGCTTTACTGCAAACTATATATGGAAGAAAAAACTAACTAGCTAACACTAAATTTAAACATTAAATTTAAATTTTATAGAATAATAAGAATTTACATCATTTCAGCATTCACACTTTAGCATTTCACATTTTAGCGATACATGGTAAATAATGTTATGTAAAACGTGTCACGTATACTACAATTCATCAAGGTATTGTTGGTAGAAATTTAATTTGTAGTGAATAATTATATCGATAATTATATCTTTGTGAACTTTAAAATTACATAATTGTCGCACTGTTATAGTAAGGTATTGTAACAGTATTATATTCAAATTGTTTAAAATATACAACACATATCTATGTAAATAAAAATTATTTGCTGATTGTATGTAAGCAAATTATTACAGAATGGTTGCACATTTTTGACTAATTACGTTGTTGTTGTATTTGTAATTGTCAAAACAAGGTATGTATAAAAGAATGTGTTTAAAAATAGTTTGATAAATTAAAAAAAAAAATGGGTAAAAAGAGTAGATTTGGTTACATTTTATTCATTAATACATACATACGAACTCGATGTGAGCAGCTAGTAAATACTTATAAGTTACACTTTAGTCGTAAAAGTAAAAATACACTTTTGTATTTAATTACTTGCAACTTTAAGTTAATATATACGATAAAAAAATTGAATATTATGCACGAAAAACTCATAAACTATTTGCATAACTCAGGAACTTTATGTAAGATTTTAGTATTTATCCAAACGAATAACACAAAACTGTTAAAAGTTTTTATTGTATACTTACCAGCTAATCTAACAAACGCTGGTTTGATCACTACAACTACCTACCAGATCTATTTTTCTTCTATCTATCCTATTTAAGAGCTGCGTTCTTGTCGGTGGAGCTCTTGGCACTCACTACGATTTTCTGCGAATCCCTTCACCTTTTGATACGATACGACACCAACTTTTTCCTTGATATAACATTTTTTCCTTCTCCTTATTTTTCTCATCGGGATTAAATTATCCTGTTTCTAAAGTAAAAAGTTTCTCAAAAAGCCGGTTGAGCGGTTTTAGAGATTAGCGTGAACAAATCACGTGACACTATATATAAATATATATAGTGTATATATATACATACATATATATATATATATATATATATATATATATATATATATATATATATATATATATATATATATATATATATATATATATATATATATATATATATGATTGATTCTTAGAAATAGTCTAGTTCACCGTGTAATTTATGAAATTTATGAATGAACGTTGTCTGCGTTTTGTTTTTATACAAAACAACTTATTGTCTATTTGAATTCACTGAAAAAAAAAATATATTTCTTTCATTATTAACTTAGCTGCCAGGTTCATCATGATATTATGTATTCTTTCTATAGCATAGTCTTTTCTTATTATTTCTTATTTAATGTAATTAAAGAAAGAAAAAAAAATTCAAAACGTTATTATTAACTACAAATAAATATTCGTCACGTTGGCATTGTTGATTCGTACAATAGATTATAAGATATATCACCTAAACAAATAAATATGCTTACTGTGTTACACAAAAATTTATTCAATACGATATTCAAAATCATAATTGAGATTCAGCAATAAAACTGCGCATGGTTATCTATTTGCTTTGTTTATTATAATGCTTTATTTCTGTCTATATATTTTATTTCTACATAATATTTTAAGGACACAATGGTATCTATTATGAAGTACTATTCTCTGTATCTAAAATTAAAATTTTATTTACATATTATTAATAGCTTTTACCTGTGACTTCGTTCGAGGGATCGGGATATGTCTACTGATTGGGACAAAAAGTAACCTGTAAGTTATACCATCCCATAAAATACGTGTATACCAAATTTCAACCAAGTAGTGATAGGTTAAGTCGCTATAAGGTAAGGTAAGGTAAAAAAAAAACAGACGTACTTTTTCGCATTTATAATATTACCTAGTAAGGATTTGTCTATGTCCTCTAACAGGGAGAGATCAACACATAACACTTAATAAGGTTATTAAGAGTTATAATTATATGTAATATAATTTCTCAAATATTTTATTTCTTATTTGTATATACTAACGTATATATAACATTATATAAAAAAACGATTCCGTAGCTTTTATATGATTGTCGCAATAAATTGTTGACGGTCAGAAAAAATAGATGCTGTTCATGGTCGTTTTAGTACTTTTGTTATATTTTATATTTATGTAACCAAACATTTTTATTGCTACAATCCTTTTGAAGAATTTTAAATATATTTTGTAATAACAGTGCTGAATGTTATGATCATAGTAAATATTGAAACTGATATATTTATAGATATTCAATTATACATATGTATTCGTAATTCCATATATAAATTTAGTATACCTATAATATATTTAACTATTATATTATATTATATTATATTATATTATATTATATTATATTATATTATATTATATTATAAATATTATAACTAAGATAACCTTTTTTTCACTATTATTATTTAAAAGTCTATTTTGAATGCAAAAGTAGCAACCGTACATTATAAACATAAGAAACATCGTGAATTTCACAAAACATGTCACGTCAACTACGACATATCTCGTTTGTTGCAACTTTTGAACACAAAGTTATAATCTCTTGTCTGTCACACTGACTATGTACTTTTACTTTTAGACTGAAACACAACAAAACAAGTATTGCTGCTCCAGTAGTTGTAATTGCGCCAGTATACTGAAAATGGTAGATATAAATTCGTCATTATCGGCCTTACACCATTTGGTTTTTTACATCACTTACATACAACCATGCACTTTTATATTATATTTTCGAGATAAAAATACATATGTAGGCGAATTCAATTCATGATCTTATTTTTCTTTAAAAGCAACATGCTTACTAATATTTTCCTGTGGTTCCAATATATTTATTATTTCTATTTTAATTTAATAATAAATTTACTTGTGTGTCTATCTAATCGTGAAGGTTGGAATAATAATAATATAATAGTAATCATGACTAAGGGTCCCGGATTGTTTCGAAATTAGTCGGCCTATCTCGACTAAAGTATATGTAAGTTAATCTGGTTGTCATTCTATTAAAATATAATATAGCCTAAAAAGAATTGGGCCATGTATATTATCACACTTACACTTACTATTACTTATACTGTTTTAGCATACTAATAGCTTTTATTGAGGACAGTGAAGTACGTATGCCTTAGGTATAAGCAGTGGATCCTTCTCGCAAAGGCTTAGTAATTATGCGTGCTTATTTATGCCAGGATCATAAGAATAAGGAACTTATCTTGTAGTAAGATTTTGATCATTAATAGTACAAGATTATTTTATTTTTGGATTGAAGGATTTGGGATAAACGGTTTCGAGTTTGCTTTCTTTTGACAAAAACAAATATTTGGGTTAAAGCCATTAAAAAGAATAAGCATTATTATTACTTACTAAATTTGTTTTACAACTTCGTATAACAATGTCCAATTCCAATTAACATTAGTTGACCAGTTTGAGCGAATAAGTTGTAGCAGATAATAAATAAACAAACTCGCTTTCACATTTCTAATATTGGTAAGAATTACCATAAATGTATCTTAGTATCATCGAAGTAAGTAATTATCTTAATAATTTACTTTAAATAAGTAATAGTTTACGCAAATGAAGTTATAGAAACAATTATTGTTGAAAGTAACGTTCGTGGGAAAAACGACTATGGGACATTACGTGCTAAACTCTACTCAATAAGTGGGCAATTATACATTTAATTACTTAATTACTCGTCTTACATGAAAATAGATATTATTTATCTACACTAATAATATAAAGAGGAAAGATTTATATTTTTGTGTGTATGTATGTTTGTAATGAATAAACGGAAAAACTACTTTGCCGATTTCAAAAATTTTTTCACCATTAGAAAGCTACATTTATCCTGAGTAATACAGGCTATATTTATTGCTAGAAAAGATTAGGGATTCTTTATAAAACTTTAGTAATGTAACTCAAGGTGTAAAAAAAATGCTATAAAATATCTTTCGTCGCATGCGCTTCGGAAACTATTGGTGATAGAACAAAAGCATGTTCTACAATATTGAAGAAAATATCAATTACTACAAAATATTTCGCCATACTGTATGCCCAACTATTATCATTATGTCACAATATTTTAAATTTTAAAAGTTGATAGAAATACAGACCAGAATTACACCATGTTATTCATACTTCTCAAAATAAAATGTTGTAAAAATGTCCACCCGTGCGAAGCTGGGACGGGCCTCTAGTTGAAATATAAATTAACAGGTGTGTTATAAAATAACTTATCATTTATCACTAAGTCTAGTCAGAAAACGGCGACGAAATGGAGCAAGAGAGTCAAGAGAAAATGTTATTTCAAAAGTACTTGGATCGAACAAATAAATTTTTAAATATTACGGGCATGTACCTGAAGGAGGAGGATAGTAATAGATCACTAATACAACGCCTTCGTCATCGTTGGTTCTACTGTTTTAATTCTATCTGCTTTAATACAGCTATTATTGGACAAATCGGATGGTATATCGAAGCTATTATGACTGATAAAAGCATTACAGAAATCACTTACTTCATGCCGTGTGTCACACTTTGTTTCTTAGGAAATTTGAAAGCCTTTTATTTTGTGAAATATGCTCATTATGTTAACGGTGTAGTAGACAATTTAAAAAAATTGCAGAATTTGTCTTCAGAAAAGCAAAAATATCGAGATGACGTCGAAGAAGAAATGCTAAAGAATGGATTGAGGATCTATAACATGTTTACGTACATGCTTGTATGTACAAATGGATGTGGATTGTTATCGTTTATAATTGGTCCCCTACTCACTATGGCTGTTTATTATTATACAACCAGCAAAATTGTATACCTTGTGCCCTTTTTTATATGGTATCCTGTTGATCAAACAAAGTTAATAAATTGGCTGTTTATCTATATTCATCAAATATGGTCAGGTATACAGTTTAATAATTTTATTTAATTAGGGACTTAATATCTTCTAACGATGACTCACGGAACTAAAATATGGTATATAGTCCTAGCTTAATGACGTTCCGAGTAATTTAGCATTGTAAATTTAAACAGCAGATACACAGCCAAATATAATAATATGTTATTTCTAATTAAATCAATATGACATTACAGACATGAAACAAGATCCATTCTATAAAAAATACATGACAGGCTTCTTAATATAAAATTATGTTCCCTGTGATAGTCAGCATTATACTTAGCGAACAATGGAAAGGGCTATACTCTCCATATCCCGCTGAGTGACTCAGAGTTTTACTACTCGAATCCTGAACGCGGTAGAAGTAAAGAGGCTGATATAGTCCGAAGGATTTGCTAGGGGCAATGACCCCGCCACACTTATATTACTAGCAACCTATAACTGTGTATTGGTTGATGTTCGGTGAGGAAGAAAGGTTTACAAGGTTAACTACCTATCATTCACGGCATTAGTATATTCATAAGATTTTATAAAAGAAAAAACATTGTTTGCGTATAACTTAAATATTGTTTTATTAAATATTTATTTGCAGCTATTCTTGCTGTGTTCACGGTTTTTGGTCCTGACAATTTTTTTGCTACTTGTTCTACATTCATAAATATACAGTTCCACTGCCTTCACTACGACATAGAAAAAATAGACATTAAAAAAACTAAATACAAGAACGAAAAATATGTAAATTATGCTTTTCGAAGACAATTTAGAGAAATAATTCAAAGGCATAAAATATTAATTGAGTGAGTATTAGTACATACAAATTACTGATACTTATGCCATATATATCACAGTTTACTTAAATTGTGTATTTCAATTTTTGCTTTTATTTATTTTCAATTATTATTAATATATCGATAATAAACCAAATTAATCCAAATGGCGGCGACAAGCTCGTTTCCTACCACATTGAATATTAATACATCTTGACTGTCCCATTAGGGATTATAGCCATTAACATACTTTACATTATTCTTTAAATTCTGATCTATTTATAATAGTTTTTATAAAGTTCTTTCAAGTAAGAATTAGTAATAATTTATAAGTTTTGCACTTTTATATATATTTTTTAGTATTTGTCTTATATATTTTTTAACGACATATAAATTTGAAGTACTATAAAAAATCGCAATTATTTTAAGTTATTTATTAATTAGGTCTTTTTTTCCAGTTGCGTAAATTTACTGGAAATAATTTACACTAAATCGACTTTATTCAACGTTGCTACAAGTTCGCTTATCATTTGCGTTACCGGCTTCAATATAACGGTAATCTATTTAAGTCTATTTACATTTTAATATTCATTTTATTCCATCTTACTTAATAACGTTATGCTATGATAGGATTCCATCGCTATCTTTTTCTTTCAGAACTTCTTACAAAAAAATGAATAAATAATTTTTTCTATTAATACAAGTAGGTACAGAAAAAATTAAGACCAATTATTAAAGAAATATACTTACTTAATTTACTTATTTTTTAACTAATATTTTAAAATGTGTAAGTATTTAGGGAAATTTTTATTTTACAGACAATAGACAACATAATCGTGATGATGCCTTTCATTTCTTTCCTTCTAATGGCTTTGCTACAAATAGTTGTTTTATGTTACTATGGCGATAAAATAATGGAATATGTATGTATACAAAATTATAAAATTTATTCTTAATATTTTTAAAATTTAGTTATATTATATACTAGCGACCCGCCCCGGCTTCGCACGGGTGCAATGCTGATATTAAATATACCTACGTACTACAGAATGTCCTTATAAACAACGTTTACAGCTTTTTTGTCATTGGACAATACAAACATGAGATAGCTATAAGGCGAAGTGCGGCGAATCTCGTGGGGTTCAGCCAGCGTTTGCAATGTAAGCGCAAAAAATGAGTTTATTTACGACATCCCATTAGAAACCTCTAAATTTGTCAGTGTTTCTCTACAATATTATGCATATATTATACATATAAAACTTCCTCTTGAATCACTCTATCTATTAAAAAAAACCACTTCAAAATCCGTTGCGTAGTTTTAAAGATTTAAGCATACATAGGGACGGACAGACAGCGACAGCGACTTGGTTTTATACTATGTAGTAATAGTGATGAAATATTATACAACTGTTTTTACATTTTTTATATTATAATTTTTTTAACCAGCGAACGTGTATGAAAAGATAGATTAAGTAGCGAAAGAGGTTTGTTTGAATCGAAACATTTTGGTAATTATGAACCTGTAATTACTCAAGTTCATATACAGTACGTATACAGTAATTTACCTACATATTTACAATGAAAGGAAAAAGCTAGAGGGTTAACCAGATATTTTAATTAATATGTTAAAGTACTTTGAACTTGACGACCTTAATAATATAGCGGTTTAACATACTGCCTCACCTACTGTTTCTGCGAGATTGATTCAAACATTTGATGTATTAGAATATCTGTTTGTGTTATTGTGGATGTTTTCATAAAACAATGAATTAAAATAAATCTATTAGATGTCTAGTAAGTAACAATACAAATTCTATATGTAAGAAAGCCTATTACAGGATAGACGAATTCATAGATGACAACATATCAAGTAAATAATTAGTTTATTAGCATACAACGTTATAATTTTATTTTCTCATTGCTTTCTTGATTTAATTGATTAATTTTAGAAATATGAAAGCGTAGCGGTTTTTTGTATTAATTGCCGCATGCATTCTTATGTAAAATGTGAATACTATAACTATCAGATGGCAATTGTGAGTAGCTTTGACGTGGTCTAGTGTTTTGAGTAGTCATGCTCACTAAAATGTCCAGACTTGTGGCGGCGTGGTGGGCCGGGTCATTGGGCTCCCTAAAATATGGTCGAGCGCAGTGATGGCTGGCTCATCCGTCATACTCGTGAACGGGTGCTGCTTGTAGGGACTGGTCTGCTCTAATCACTATGACTGATTTCCTCTTATTAATTGTTTAACCAGTTGGTTATGTATTCAATTTTTTTTTCTTTTTGAGTATTTAATTGAATTAGTGCTAATTGGTGGTTTGTATTCACACAATTAAACTTAAAAATGTAAAATAATAATAAAATTATTTAAAAGAGCATCACGCAAGTTTCTTGCTCGTTCTTCTTGTGATGAGACAGCTTTCCGAACGAGCGGTAAATTAAAAAAAATGTAATGACTTTTCAAAAGTGCTTCAATGTAAGTTTATTTGAATAAATGATTTCTATTCTATTCTATTCTATTCTACTCAGTTTGGCGTTAGACAGCATTGTATAATATAACTAGAATTATTTATTTTTCAGAGCTTGGAAGTAAGTAATGCAGTATACAGAAGTCAGTGGTATATGGCTGATGCTGCTGTCATGAAAGATTTACTATTTCTGTCCCTCAGGTATGTAATAAAACCATGTAGCCAGGGGCTTACACAAATAGCAAATGATTCCATATAAATACATTTTCATTTACGCTAACGCAAGTAAGTAAATTAGTTTTTGGTGACCCTGGTGTAGTGGCAGTTAATAGTTTCAATGATTGTGTATATTATAAACATTAGAATATCTGTTTGTATTGACCTGATATTTACTAGTCGCTGCGTCTATGATTTATTATTTGTTTGTTAAAATATTTTATAAACACACTTTATTTAAAATTATACATACATACATACATACATATCTGTCACGCCTGTCTCCCATTAGGGTAGGCAGAAACAATGGAACGCCAAATGCTTCGATTCAAACAAACCTCTTTCGCTTAATAGAAAATAGAAACAAATTGGTATCGAACTTTTGGATATCTGTTTTATATTTGTTGAGATTATTATTAAATTATAAATACGGTTCTAGGCCATGCCATCAATCATATAATTCTAATCTCTTATAGCACCCTTAGAGTGGTGCTAAAGGATAAAAAAGGCATAAATAAAATATAAAAATGTGATTGACCATAATACATAAAATAACCATTATGATTTTCATTTTCATCATTTTATTAGTATGCAGTAACTGGAAACGAGTCTAAAAAAGTTTGTGGCGTTATGCCTTAAAAAACCAAAATAGGATGTTCAATGCACTAAATACAATTTTTTATATTTTTAATTAGATGATATTCAAACTGATATAATCAATAGTCCTAGTCAACTTAATAAATTTTATATTGATGTCTCAAATAAATCACAAAATATAATCATTTCTTTAATTATTAATAAATTATTATATATAAGTTATTATTATTTTCAGGACTCAAAGAGCATGCAAACTAACTGCATATGAATTTACTGACATTAATTTAAATACGTATGCTAGGGTATGTAAATATTTTAATTATAAATCTAAATATTTTAATTATACACCAATTTATACGCATTGCCGATCTATCCTGTAATGGTAATGTATCCGTACACATATATTTGAGGCCCCTCAACATGGCAATTCAATTACTATTTCTTAGAGATTATTAGAGATAGAGATTCATCGGAGTTAAGTTACATTTCAAACATAACTCAGCGAATTCATTCTGTTGGTTCGGGATTTATTAAGCTACTAGGTGCGTTGACAGTTATCCGTATGAATAAGACATATTAATTGACTGGGATAAAATATTGCGTATGCCAAATATAATAATGATTGGTAAAACAAATTAATACGAAGAGGTAACGATCATACAAATTAAATTTTATATTTTAATTTAAAGTGGTGGTTACTTTAATATAGAGGATATTCTCGACTCGTTTGTATTGTTATTATTATTTTTATACTTTTCATTTTTGTGCTATTTAAAATGGCAAACAAGGTAACGCTCATCTGATAGAAAGTGGTAAATTGAAAGCCGTCGCCTATAGACATGAACAGTACCACAGTAAAGTCTTATATCTATTTATAAGACTATATCTATTATGTCGCCCACCATAGTTATTTATTTATTTAACACTTTATTGCACCAACATAACAGGATTTGTTGAACAATTTTTAATACGTAAAGTGTAGTACAAAAGGCGCTCTTATTGCTAAGCAAACTCTTCCAGACAACCTTTGGGTAGAAGGAATTAAAGCATAAATAGGTACGTGGCGCGTTAATACCCCATGTCCCTCATGCATGGCCTTTCCTGAGGATTAAGGTATTATACCTCTGTATCTTGATCTGGTCTTGATGTGTATATCACGAGGATATCTTCAGTAATTTTAAATTACTTTTAATATTTTTTTTATTTTATACAAATATCATTGTATAACAGTCCCCACTGCAGCGGCAGTTTTCTCTTTACATTTTTCCCATAAATCCTTCATTTCTTTTTTAACAACGTCCTTCATTTATCCCTAATGTCCCACTTATTTTCTTCAATTCTTTCTTACATATCGTAAAGTGCGAATACAACCAACAAATTAATTCCCGAGAAGGGTTGACATCAGGCAGGCAGCTAGTCGTAAAACCAAAAGCCAAAATATTTAATAACATAAACAAAATCATATTATGCCGACTCCAAATAGTTGGGACAAGAGCAGAAGGATGGTGATACTTATATCATTGCAAAACTCCCTGTAAAATCAATTACTTAAAGATGGAAATTGAAAGACAAACACCAAAAATATAATACTATTTATTAGTTAAAATGTCACTAATGATTCAATTATTTTATTTTACAGATAATAGGCAGGGCTTGGTCATACTTTGCTTTGCTGCAAACAGTATATGGACGAAAAGGCGCTAAAAATCATTAAAATTTATATATATATATATATATATATATATATATATATATATTATGCATTTATGTAGTAAATGAAATATTACAGACTCATATTTATTTTATAGATAATTACAAAATATTATAGCACCTAAATAAATGTAGCACACTGATAAATAAATAAGAATGTTAGTAATTCTGTAGTATAGTTAATCATTATGAAGTATTATAATTAAATTTTTAGATTTTACTATAATTTTTAAATTAGAGGATATTTACTAGTTTCGGACTTGATAGAACCGAACCCTTATTCACGAGCGAGTTCGTCGATACTAGTCGGTCATCCCGAATTTCGAGATGCGAGTAAAGCTGACATAAGTAATTGTAATGTAGTATAACTCACAATAGTTATTATTCTACTATGAAGTACTGTAACTTTCAAATATTTATGATTTATAGAATATTGAAACGTACTTATAAATTCAAATGGCTATTTATAATGTATTCAATTTATTTTGTTTACAGTAAAAAATTTTTATAATATTAGTAAGGATACACTACGTATAAATATACATATTCATAAAACATCTTGTTGTTTACTGATGTTAATTATCATTATTAAAGTCGCTTTTTGCGGAACAAAATGTATTTGTTTTAATAAAAAAATTAATTGTGATAAAATTAATTATACATATAAAAATTATTCTATTTAAATCATACTATTACCATCACTATAAACTTTGAAGAAAGTATGTAGGAAGAGGCAAAAACATATTCACACACATACATAAATCTATAAGAAATTATCCTTAGGTAAAATTATTTATGGCCAAAGATCGGCAAAAGTAAATAGAACGCTTGCCAAATATTATTTTATGTCGTCCAAGCGTGACAGTTTCAAAATCCCTAGGGCTACCCAAAATAATATTGTTACATGCAGGAGCGAGGGTTACAGTTTGACTCAGCGATGAATATGTCACGAGTGTTACCGAAACCATCTAGGGGTGTTGTTATGTAATATGCAAATTAAATAACGTAGTATATATGCGCCTGAGTAAGGGATACAGGTAAGCACTATCTGATAATTTGTTTCTGTCAAGTTGCAAATTACCTACTTTTGTGACAAAACCATCTATCAATCGATTTAAAAAAAAATTGCTTCTAAACTTAATTATACTTTTTATGCGTGCATTATGCGATAATTTTATCAATATTAATGATTCTTTTTTAAATCAAAAATATATTTTTAATCTATCAATGGTTTAGTCCAGTAAACATAATTTTAGTAGGAATTTGAGCCTAGTATTGTAGACATTTATAGACTGGGGTAACCGTTTACCATCAAGTGGTCGGTAATATTGTGATCGGCGTTAAAGGACGTTAAAAAATGGATGGAATTGGGATGTTGACCCTGCACGTGCTATGATTTATGCTGACAGGAAATCGGCGGGATGGTAGACAAGGATAATATTATATCAGTTGACCCATTGCGACTCACTCAACTTTCTATTATTACGTTAGTAATATAATAGGTACCTAAATCTATATATTACATAGATATTACAAACTTTAATGTTATACACTATATTCAAGACATCTTTTCAAATTCATAATTTTAAATACAGATTTAGTATTCGGGGAATTTGATTTAATTTTACTGAAATAACTAATATTTATCTATACTGAATTCAACATGTGTTTAACACTGTAACATTGCTTTATAAAAAAATATATATAACAAGAAATATTAATGTTATTTAATAAATGGATGAAGTTAATTAAAACATTTAGATAACCTTTTCTTAGCGCTTATGTGAGTTCGTACTAATAAAATTTATTATTATTTTACAAAGTTATCGTGTGGTGTCTCGGTATGGAATGGGCCAGTTATTTCCTGTGGATGTCGTAATAAGTGGCTAAGGGAACTTAATGGTCGATGGATGAGCAACAGCGTCCCTTTTAAAATATCACCAAAGTTTAACTGCGGTTACCAACCCGGTTTTGCTAAGCGTGGTAATTATTGGCAGATTCCCACTCTATGAGGATAGCCTATATAATAATAATAAAATAACAATAAGAAGCATGGGTCGAGCAATGAGAAAAAAATATGCTTACACAAAAATTGACAGTTATACCCTTCTGTTAGTACAGGAGGATTATATTTATTACTGGTCTTCCAACTTATATTTCAGATATAGAAACCTCCTTTTAAACAAATAAAACAAAAATCAGAGTCTCACTAGATACAAAACCAATCTCGATAAGTACCAGTTATGATAGGTGTGTCACTAGTAATTAAGTGAGGTGTGTTACTAAATTGAGTTAATTGTACACGTATAATAATAACAACGTATAAATAGGTATACTGTGCAATTAATATAAATAAAGGAAGTTTATGTGTAAGGCTTAATTTTTAAGTGTTATTTTTAAGATTTCTCTATTAGAGTCTATAGAGAAATCTTAAAAAATAACATACTATATAAGTTATTCTTGTGGCATCGATGTAATGATTAATTATAGCAAAAGTATTTATTCAGTATACTAATAAAATTATAACTAAATTCAAATGAATGTTTGTAAATGCTGCTTGTGATATGAATATTAAAAAGAAACAATAATAGATTTTTTATTTACTATATTTTACTTTTTTTTTATTATTGTATACGCAAAGCATGAATTCGATAAAAAAACTGTTGAGATATTGAGAAATAGAGACAGTAGTTCACTGTTAAATATGCAAAAATTTAAATCAAGAGAACTTTTTTATTTTGTTTGAGCCTCCATGATACACACGTAATTGTATGTAGATCCATGACTTACTAAAGTTATCCCCTTGTTTATGTCAGGCTCTATGATAAAACCACACTTGCGCTGTAATACTACCATAGCCTACTATTTTGTAAAAAGGTATTTTGAATATTTCACTGTTTATAGATGTCATGAACTTTGCCTAATTAAATGATCAAACGAACTTACCTAAAGTGAAGTTCGATCAAAATTATCTTGACTTCGTTGAAGAGATTTATCTTTGACCATGTAGTAGCCTCGCTACGCTGCAACCCTTCGCACAAGCATTCAGAGGGTAGGAATAAAAACATAATAATGACATTGCTGTCACTCTCCTATGCCGACACATTCCGACCCAGCCTCATTCTATTTAGAGCATAAGGTAGTAACTGCTAGCAACATTGATATTAATTTGGGTTTTATAAGCAGAGGTGGGAGGGACCTTAAATCTCTTCAACGAAGTCAAGATAATTTTGATCGAACTTCACTTTAGGTAAGTTCGTTTGATCATTTAATTATCTTGACTTCGTTTCCGAGATTTATCTTTGACCATGTAGATGTTCAGAGGTTTTTATCAATGTTGCAAAAGAATTAAATAAATTAAAAATAAATAAAAAGTAAAAAACAAAATTTAATCAGTGTGTACATTTCTTTATTATATCCTAAATAAACTGAAAACATGGTTATTATTATCTAATTAATCAATAAGTTAGAAGTGGTATCAATAATTGGCCTATTATAGAAATTGGCAAATACTGCTGATTGGTCAGACCAACCAGCAACCTTACGAATGACATCGACACTTAGTCCTGCACGTGAAGCGGCAGAGGTAGAAGCGTGCCTTGTACTGTGGGCACCAAATATGGAAGTATCAATGCCACTCTCTTGAAGAGTTAGTTTTATCCAACGCCCTAACGTCTGAGATGAGACGGCTTTATATGGTTTCCTACTAGTTAAAATTAAATGGTCCACATCATTAGGTCTTACAAAAGAAGTTGATGCTACATAAAACTTAAGTGTGGCAGCTGGGCAAATACTAGGTCTAGAATTAAAAAACGGTAGATTCAATACCGGTTGGCGACGACCAATACCTGAAGTTTTAATTAAATCTGATATAGCTATAACTATGCGGTCATTGTAATAAGTAATGTTTGAAATTTTTATCAATGACAATGTTTGCGTTCTTTGCCCAGTTGCCAAAGCTAACAGCATCACTAGTTTTTTGCTTAAATTTCTAAATTAATCGAATCGTTTGAGAGATTGGCCAAATGATTAAGTACAATGTTAGTATCCCACGTAACAATATAACGGGGGAAAACGGGTTTCAATTTGAAAATACCCTTGAAAAAACGTTTTATCTTTTCATTATGACCAATATTATTACTAGAAATTAAGGAAATAGCAGATCTATGATTATTTAAGGTTCCGTAGGATGACCCTGATTGGAAACATTCTGTCAAAAAAATTAGCAGGGAACTGAGATTAACTTCATAAAAATCACAATGATTCTGATTACAATATTCCCACCATTTTCTTAGACTGGAATTATACTGCGATATAGTATTCCGAGACAAGGAAGAGATCATAACATCTACAGCTGCTTTTGGTACTCCCTGCTTGGAAAATCCTTCCCGGATAACACGCTCGCTACCAAGAAAAGTTGACCATGTAGCGGGTGAACTGAACTGAAAGTAGAGATAAGGAGATATTTATTAGGTCTAAAAGTTACAGGTTTCGTTACAGATAATGATTTAAAAAGGGGGTACCAAGGCTGTGATGGCCATTGTGGTACAACCACTATGCCTGTAGCTCTATCATGTATAATTTTGTTTAGTACCTTTAATATTATAGCGAAAGGAGGAAATGCATAGAAGAAATAAGTAGACCAGTCCAAAGTAAAAGCGTCAATATTATAAGCATCGGGATCTCTTTTCCACGATATGTACTTAGGGCATTTAGTATTAACACGAGATGCAAAAAGGTCTATATCTGGTTTACCAAATGTATATACTATTTCTGAAAATGCATACGACGCTAATTCCCATTCAGTATCAATATTTAGGTTCCTCGATTCTCTATCGGCTTCAGTATTTAATGTAGATTTAATATATGAAGCAAAAATGAATATTCTCCTTTCCTCGCACCATTTCCATATTATATTTGCAATATGATTTAAATGCGGGTATTGAACTCCGCCCATCCTATTAATGTACGAGATCGCTGTTGTATTGTCGACACGCAAAATAATATCACAATCTTTTTTTGTGTTAGCGAATGATTTCAGTCCGAGATAAACGGCTAGTAATTCTAAATAATTTATGTGGTTAGTACGCTCAATGCGAGACCACAAACCACCAGCCTTCTCATTGTGACAGGCGGCACCCCATCCTGTCAATGAAGCGTCAGTAAATAGTTCCATTTCATATTTATGTTGTCTAATACGATTACTAGCTATTAGAATATGATTTTTCCACCATATCAAATCATCGTGCAATTTATTTGGAATAGCCATAAAAGCATTGTAATTATCTGCATTACGCTGAAGTGCCATATATTTAGCTCTTTCTAGTGACTTCGTATGTAGCCATCCATAGGAAATGGCAGGGCATGCAGCAGTAAGGGAACCGAGAACTCGCGCAAATTCTCGAATGCGTATAGATTTAGTAGTGAGTAACATCTCTAAATTTTTGAGTATACTATTTCTTTTTCGATCGGGTAATTGCAAAGTCATCGACTTGGAATCGAGAACAAATCCTAGGAAAGTACACGAAGTACTTGTTTTCAAACTACTCTTTTTATAATTTATTACAAAACCTAAGCTTGTAAGGCATTCTTTAGTATTACTTATATTATTCAAACAAATCGCTTCCGAGTCTCCTAGTAAAAGTATATCATCCAAATAGCGTACTGATTTAAAACCACGAGCTCTTAAGTGAGTCATAACGGGCTGTAAAATTTTTGTAAATATGTAAGGCGCAGAACATAATCCAAACGGGAGTGCAGTGAATTCGTATAGACCTTCAAAATAAAATCGTAAATATTTTTTATGGCTAGCATGGATTGGGACTAAAAAATAAGCATCCTGCAAATCAATATTGGCCATAAAAGACCCTTCAGTTATTAGTTTTGTCGCCGTCCTAATATCTTCCATCTTAAAATGTTCGACACGAACATATTTATTTAATTTTTTAAGGTTCAATATAAACCTCATGCTACCGTCACTCTTTGGCACTAAAAATATGTCAGATAAATATTGTCCCTTAACAGGATTGCATTTTTGTATGGCCCCTAATTTTATCAAATGTTGAATTTGTTTTTTAAGTGCAATTCGTTCATTAGAACAAAAAATACGTTTTGGATATTCACTTGGACTCTGTTCTGGTATAGTAATAAATGGAATTGAATATCCTTGAATAGAATTTAAAATAAAGTTATCGCTTGTAATTGAACGCCAAGCGTGTAAAAAATATTTCAAGCGACCTGCATATACCTGAGATTCTGTATTTAATTCCGCGACCGATCGGCTGCTGGTCGCGGCTTGTAGACTGGTTGGCGCCGCGCTGGCGGCGGCGGCGGTGGTTGCGGACGGCGACTGTGTGGCGCCGGTGCGGCGACTACACGTCGCCGATTCGCATATGAAGTTTTGTGCCCACCGGCTCGTTGTTGCGAGTTGGTTTGACTGGCGCACTGACGTGGTCGAGCCGATGGGCCCCTGAAGTTTAAACCAGAGCTGGAAGAAGAGGCTGTAGCTTGAATTAATTGACTAGTCTTCTTAATTCCTCGAGATTCCTTCACTACTTCAGATAAACTCTCTCCGAATAAGAAAGTATCTCTCTTCCGGTTTTTAAAAGTATCGGCCAAAGATTTGTCTACTAATGGAATGATGACTGACCGACGGGTGTCTGTTTCTGCGTAGTGGGAGTCTGCGATAAGTTTTCCCGTATCGCTCAATATGCGAATAACTTCGGATATAACAGGGTCTTTCTTTAAAAGAGCCGTCATGGCCTTTCCTAAGGCTGATAGTGCACGTCCGAGCTGATCTTGTTTACAAATCAAACGTTTATCGCGGAGACGGCAAGGCTCAGGAAGCATAGCATGGACCTCTGGGTTTAGAGTGGGTGCCTTTAAGAACGGTAAATTTTTAGGAAACAGATATTTCTTTATAAGTTCTTCTCTATTTTCCTTTCTTAAGCCCTCTATTAAAATTTTTTGGAACCTTGTTGCTATATCTTTATATATTTCATCACCATATTCAGTAATTTCCGATTCATTTTCTCCTAAGGCTTGTAATAATTCCGAGTCAATGCATTCTGCGACTTCCTCATTATTCTCAGTTACAGTTAAGGGTACTTCCTTAGGAGGAAGGTCTTGGTACGAGTCAAGATCCGAGAAAATTTCTTGCTGTTCGCTTGAAATATTACCCACATTAAACAATTCAGTTTCTCCAGGTACCGGATGTTCTGGAAACGAATGTTACGTATTAATCCTCAAATTCACTAGGATTTCTTTTAATTTAAATAACAAACACTTCTCCTTCACTAACAATGATATTAAGTAATATTCATTGTAATAATTTATTTATAATAAACTCAATAACGAATTTTTAGTCAAGGAAAAAATAAAATAAAACAATATGTGGGTAAGTTCGATCGTGCAAAATATGCCAACGATCATAATTGATCCCGAAGAATACAACGGGATTAAAAAAATTATATCTCGAAGAATTCAACGAGAAATAAATTTGTGATAATAATCACCTTCGATATGTACATCATCTTCATCGCTGGAGTAAACAATACGCTTAGTATTACGACACTGTGTTTTAAGAAGCTTCGCTTCATATTTCTTCATTTTTCTTGACCAACGTTCCTCTTTCGATTCTTCGCGTTTGCGTTTAGGCATTTTTTTTTTTTTTTTTAATTATTTTTTTTTTTTTTTTTTTAGTTTATATATTTATAAGCTTGTGCAGTCGGCGCGAGCGCACGGACAAGAATGAGGCTGGGTCGGAATGTGTCGGCATAGGAGAGTGACAGCAATGTCATTATTATGTTTTTATTCCTACCCTCTGAATGCTTGTGCGAAGGGTTGCAGCGTAGCGAGGCTACTACATGGTCAAAGATAAATCTCGGAAACGAAGTCAAGATAATAGCCGTTAAAATACCACAATGTGAGATATATAAACGAGTCAATACCACCTTGTGTTATTTGGGCTGTCTTTATAGAGCCATTAGTTTTAAGTGCCAATTTTGATAGTATTTTTTATAATAGGTAATGCTAAATAATCAAACTTTATAAAATATTTTATTTATTTATTTATTTAACACTTTATTGCACTAATATTATATCAGCTGTTGAAGGTCTTTCAATGAATATAGTATAGTACAAGACGTGGTCTTATTGCTTAGCAATCTCTAGCTGCCAACTTTTACTCAGAAGAAATTAAAGAAAAATAGGTGACATGTTAAAAAAGAAATAAACACGTAGATAAGTACAATTAAATTCATATATATATATATATATATATATATATATATATATATATATATATATATATATATATATATATATATATATATATATATATATATATATATATATATATATATACGTAAGTATTGCACTCGTCATGAAATACAAAATATAATTTAAAAAAAAAGGGATGTAGCTAGATTAAAAATAATTGAATAAAGAAGAAAATGGAAGACGGATAGAAAGTTACTTGGCTGTGTACGATATTGGGATACACTGTCATATTTGCGAAGCCCAAACCTGAAACGAAATAAATATGTCATTTAAATGATTGATGATTTTATTTTGTATTCGTGAATAGAAAGCGAATATCGATAAACAATTTTGCGATATTTAGTACATAAGTTAATATATAATATACAACAAATAATTTTAGTGTGTCATTTTACATTTAACGTCCATAACGTATCATAATATATTCAAAGTGTGGATAGTTTGATTTGCGACCTCAGGGCATGAATAAATCCAGGAGTTATGTGTAGTCACGTATTCGTTCAACTGGTTAGCGACTTACATTTATATACAGAGATATGTATATAGATAAGGCGTGAAGATGAAAAACTAAAGAGATTTACTTGTTTATGGAATTATGTATATGGAATGCAGAATGATTACTGGAATTGGTAATGAATATTCATATTTATTACTAACTAAATCCCGCAGCTTCAGCCGCGTGAATTAGTACACAAAGTTCTATATGCTAAGTTAGGTTACAACCTATTTGTGTTCCAAACTGCATACCAATTTTTTCACTAGTGTTGGCGTGAAAAAGTAACAAACAATATCCATCCATGCATCGTTATAAATTTTCGCATTTGTAATGTGAATAGAATATCTATGTTATTATTGCCAATGGGGGAGTTTTACTATTTGTTGCACAATTAAGTCAATGTGTATCCATTTCTTTAAGTAATATCATATGTAATAGTCTATTAGTAGCGTCATAGATTTAATTACTATGGTATATATAAACTTCATTATATATACTCTGATACCTATGGTATGTGTACATATGTGAAGTGATGATTACCTACCACATTACATCGACTGGCCTATCATTTTGTTCAATGCCCAAAAGTATACTAAAAATAACACATCTATCATTCCAATCTTGAATTTATTATCTTGAACTTATTGTCTTAAACCTAGAATCCATCTCAAATTTAAAAAATAATCAATTTCCCCGAAATATTTTTCTATAACTTTATTAGTTTAGATGAAACATTAGTCACGTATTTTGTGTCCAGTACAAATATACCCTGGGCAAACCACAGCTGACCCCGGCCTTCGATTGATTTGTTGTTCTAATTAGTTATCCGAAGGAAACTTGTATTAATTTTCTTTGAAAAAGAAATACTGAATAGGAATAATAATTAGAACGATTGGTATCAATATTGATAACAAGACTAGGTTTCAACAATGTAAAATGTCGTCTACATACGGTTATTCTTTGTAGATTTTTTACATCGAATAGGTAAGCAACTGGGCAGTTAGTTCCATCCCAACGATCTGAATGAGTGGATAAATTGTTTCCTACTGTGCATTTTTCAAGACCCATTAATCCGAGTACAACCACGTTTTGGAATCATCTTCCAGTAGTAGTGTTTCCGAATCAATACGACATTATAACCTTCAAGAAAAGATCATACTCCTTTTTAAAAGGCCGGTAGCATAACTGCAATTCCTCTAGTATTACGGGTGCACATAAATCGCGATAGTCACTTACCATTAGATAATCTGCATGCTCGTTTACCCTCTATGTAATAAAAAAAATATCTATATAAAATCTAATTACCATCTAATATTTACGTATCATCAATAGTTTTCTGTAGTAAATAAAGACGATCAAAGAATAGTCTATGAAATTGAATTCTTAAGTACAAAGGTACAACTACAAAGGTGTAAGTAGGTAGGCCTACACTTTTGTTAGCACCATACAGAAAAATCATTCTATGATAATCAACAATCTATTGTATAGAAAACCATTGAGGAGTGAAATCATAAATTCTTACCAGCAAGTTCAATAATAAAAACAAAACCTAATCTATGTTCTGGTATAGTAAAGTGACATATGATATATACTAATTTTAGTGGTTCTTTTTGGTACAAATATTCTTGATTTTAAATAAATTCTTCTTCTATTTTTATTCTTTATATTGTAAATGGTAAATTTATTCCATTAACTCTAAATGGTCGCATAGATTCTTATTCCATTATCGTCAATATAAGAAAAGTACCGAATCTTAAATAATGTAGTGATTACTTACTCTATGTAATGTGTATTCTCTGTGTCTTGTTTGATTAGCGACCCGATATGCAACGATTTTCTCCTCTGAAGAACACAAACTAAATCAATTTGATCAGCCGCCTTCATTCTATTCCTGGATTCTATACATGTGTTCTATAGTACGAAATTGATTGATTAATGGTATTTCTTTTGTATCTACACATAAATTTTGAAACTTTCTCGTGTACATTGTTCTTTTAAAGTATGAATAATAGATGAAGACCAGAAGAAATATAATTAAGTAAATTTAAGTGATTACTTTTAATAAAACTTTTGTTATTAAAGTAAAATAAAAAAGGATTATTTTTATTTTATTAATGTATTTAATAGTAATATTAATATTTATTGCCATTTTTACTAATATAGTATACAAATTATAATGTTAGTAATAAATATATATGTGTACTCGTATATGTATTTATTAATAAATACATTGTTAAGTATCTGTATGCAATAGGTACAAACTCAGCTTTTGTTGGACTGATGTGCGTTCAGCGCTGATTTTTATTTTGCGCCTACACGGGACACCGTTTTATAATAAAATATTTAGATATAATATAGGACATATGGTTGTTATAGAAAAAAATTAAAAAAAAAATAAGTAAATAGGCATGTAGATAGTAACTAAAAAACAAGTGTAGAGACAAATTAAAGAAAAGGAAGAACGTTACAAGTGAATTACAATTTACAAATACATTGCATTGTATGACGAGATCCGGCTTCACATTCCAAAGGGTATATTTGTTTATGTAAGATATCCTACAGTTTTTCGTACAAATATTCTGGTCGTTCTCTATAAACAATCCTCTAGACAAAACAGAAGAAATGAAGCTCTCTTCATGAAGCCATACTATCTATAATTTTACGTTGTACTCATAATATGGTTTAATATGTTTTTGTTTAGTAATGTTATAACAAAAACTGTTATAACGTTACCTTATCGCAATAGTTGAAAAGGGACAATACCAGAGACTACTAGAATTACAGGAACTGGCATACTCAAATATTTATATTTAAATGTTTGTATGATTGTATTTGTGCGTTACAAAAGCACAAATACAATCATTTTCTTTTTTGATAGTTAATAATATTCAGAATTTAAAAAAAGTTAAGTGAATATTTTTTTTGAAATTATTGAAATTCGGACTGACTGATAAAAAGGGTTAACCGATACCGATATCCTACGTGTCACTACTCCTGACAACTTGTATGAGACATTTTACTGACTATCTTATCATTGCTTCATCTCTCATGACAGGGAACATTTTCATAATAAGTTTCCAAGTATTAGTTTAGTAAAACTAAATTGGACTTTAAAGTTATTATAAGTAGTAAGTGATAGACATGGAAAGTAATGTGTCAATGAAACAAGTAAATTGTATTTCATGACAAGCAGTTTTTGCTCAGCAAAGAAAAATTACAGTTTTAATCATCACAAAATTAATATAGAAATAAGATGAGAGTAAAAATTATTGATTGCTAAACGAATTGTCTAAATCAGTGCAAAATTGATAACGTAATTGTGAAATATAACTACAAAAAAAAATCCGAGAGACTCCTTTTTTGGAAGTCGCTTGAAAATAAAATTAAATTTGCATACAAACTGGCACAGCCATTTCTACAAAACAGTTCTGTCTTTAATTAGAAAAAACCGTTATCTAATTTTTCAAATGAATGACAATGCATTTCATTAATTTAATTCTACCCGCATTATAGGCATACGCTGGCGGGGAATTAGTGGAGGATTATAGATGAAGATAAAAGCAAGTCAGGCGGCCCATTGTAATGAATTCAACCAGAATTAACCACGAAGTTTCTAGCAAGAACTGCAGATCTAGATCAGATGCAGAACTGGAGATCGAAATGACAAGGTATATGGACATAATTGGCACCGCCAGTCCCCATTACTAACAATCTCTCCCCCCACGGCGAAATCTTATTATACTACCAATTATTATCAATCTTCTTTTACATTTTCTAACTCCTATTTCCATTTTGTTTTCTAACATAATATTACTGGGGGGAAAGGCATTGTTAGTAATTTTGTTTCATGCCCTATTGCTAGCAATATACCTATAAGGTATATTGCTAGCAATAAGGCACTAGCAATAGACCTTCACGCGGTTTTCCCTGGAAACCATCGTGGTTTATTCTTGTTAAATTCGCCACGATGGGCTGACTGACTTGCTTTCACGTGGGGTTATCACACATAAAAAAATACATCCTACCAGATGGACCTCCACGCTGTTCTTTCTGAAAACCATCGTGGTTAATTCTAGTGGAATCCTTCACGATGGGCTGACTGACTTGCTTTCATCCCCACCTA